ATCATTTTAAAGAGGCTTCCGTTGCTCTTTCTTGGGCCGAAATAAAAATCCCTTGAGAAGCAGCCAGATGCAGTACAGCTGCTGCAATACTCTGACATTAGCAAGCAGCGTCGGTTCAGAATCTGGATAGTTTTATGGATTTATCCTAGTCCAAACCAGAAATTTATACTCACTAGTGCAATCAATGTAAAGCCTCATTATGACTCTGGGTATAGATCGCACTGTGTGATTTACCAGCCATCACTCGTTGACTTGCTGAGAGACTTCAAACTGATCAAGTCCAATCTTCTAAGCCCACTTCACTTTCTCAGCAGTTTCCCACCACCACTCCCAATTTTTTCTTGCAGTATTCCCTGCACATACCTTCAGCTCATTTTGAAGGAGTCTGCTCCATCACTGCCACTAGCAGCTACGCAAGCAGGGAAACAGCCAAGCAACAAGAGCTGGGAGTATCACACAGGTTGAAGAGAGCAACTCCACCTCGGAATCCGTGTTGTCATTTCGATTTCAACAGAAAAGCATTAACCTGCCCACCCATTCCCTGCTTTTCTAAGAGCTGTGAACAAGTGCTTGGCACAGGTTTATCGCTTTTTGCCAGTCCAGGTTAGGAACGGCTCTTCAGCCAGGTTTTACAATAAAATGGCTGCTGCCTGAAAACACGGAGTACAATATAGTAGCTGGTGCTAAACACTCTGGCTACTTGATGTCCTCCAGATTGAGGAAAATTTTCCACTGTTATTCTGTTATATTTCCTTGTATCAGTAATTGTGGGAGCAAACTGCCTTTGAATCTCAAATCTCTTACGGACAGCCACGTCTATCACAGGAGTTCTGTCCTTTGGGGGCAGGATGGCACAACGTTCCTTCCACTTCATCATGATGAAACTGGACCCATCCCTTCCTTAACGAGTCTTTAAAGAAAGGTCAGGGACTTGGGGAAACAAATCTGAGAACTAGAGAATCAGCCAAAAGCCAGACCAAAGAATATCCCCAAGGGAAATGAGAACAGAGCTGCCTCTAACGATGCCTCGTGCGTGCGGGCTCCGCACAGAATAGCCATACGGCACCCATTACCCCCACTGGGGGTTGGAACGAGGCGATACGTACGGTCGCTTCCAACCCTTCTATAATTCTACTCGCCCAAAATTTCATTTGTCTAATAAAAAAATTACAGACAGCATGTGATACAGATAAAAAGTCCAATGTCGGGCAGTACCTGCAACAGAAACAAGCCTATCACATGTTAATTCTCAGCCCAAGAACACAGTGCGTTCCTAAGGTCTGTAACGTCTCTAATAAAACCTCCTGCTCAGAAACATGAGCCTTACTGACTTGCACTCTGAACACCTTCCTGAGCTCACCCCAGCTGAGTTTTACTGAAATTTTAAGAGCATTAAATTCCCATCCCAAAATGAATGATTAAGTCATAATTTCATAACAAGGACTTGGAGAATCATAGAATCATGGAATGGTTTGGGTTGGAAGGGACCTTAAAGACCATCTAGTTCCACCCCCCCTGCCATGGGCAGGGACACCTTCCACTAGACCAGGTTGCTCCAAGCCTCATCCAGCCTGGCCTTGGACACTTCCAGGGAGGGGGCATCCACAGCTTCTCTGGGCAACCTGTCCCAGTGCCTCCCCCCCCTCTCCGGGAAGAACTTCTTCCTGATATCCAATCTAACCCTCCCCCCTTTCCATTTAAATCCGTTACCCCTTGTCCTGTCACTACAGGCCCTTGTAAAAAGTCCCCCCCAGCTTCCTCGTAGCCCCTTCAGGCACTGGAAGGTGCTATAAGGTCTCCCCGGAGCCTTCCCTTCTCCAGGCTGAACAAGCCCAACTCTCTCAGCCTTTCATCAAAGGAGAGTATCACGACATGGCACAAACAGGGGCAGGTCAGTTACCCAGGTTAGTTTAGGACTACTCCAGAGCAACATGAAGCACCAGAACGCTAACATTTGCCATCCTTGTGCTGCAGTGAGACAGCAGCTCCCTGGAGCTCAACCATTACTACTAACACAGCGCAGCACTCTAGGAGAGAGAAAGCCCAGGTGCTGTGTCTGAAATCCAGACATCTAGCTCACTGAGCATACACGGTGTGCAGCTTAAATGCATCTTGCAGTGCAACAGCTTTCTACAGGGCAGAACATGAAATCTTAGCTGCACACGCAGCCTGCCCTACCCCGTGCTGAACAGATTATTCATTACAGGCTCGCGCTACCCAAGCATTATCTTAGTGCCACACAAACCAGAAAGCCAAGCTGTTACTGTCCAGGCTATCTGAAACTTCTGAGAGAACTGAAATAAACTCTGACACAGAAACCACAGGAAAACACTGTTGTGTCCAGAAATGCTTTTCCAACCTTGCGTGGTGTTAGGGCTATACAGACCACAGGGGAAGCTGTTACAGCTTCATTAAATCCCTGGGACAGCACCCGAAGTCCAACTCTATCCTGGAGTGAATTTCTGCCCTCTGTGCTTCAAAGAACATCAGACACAGAGGTTCTGTGTCGCCTCAGTAGATCTTCCTCTCACACATGAGCTGAAGTCCTGTTTAGCTCGTGACAGATATTACAACAATCAGTGTGGATTACATTTTTAAACAGACGTTGCCAGTTTGCCAAACCTGCGCTGTAGTGCCCGAGGGCATCACTTGGTCAGGCTATGTTGTTTCCTTGGACTAAGTGTCAGTAGCCACCGTTTCTGGAAACTTGTGAATGGCTGGAGCTTGTTGTCCAAACATCCTTAAAACTCCAGCTCCACACATGCCCTGTTCTTGGCAGTTAGTTTTTTCTTAGTTACTTTTGCTTTTCTGCTCAGAGTGGATTTACATGATTTCAGGCTTGAAACAGAATCAAAACCGGGCTGGCAAGAAGAGAACAGCCTGTCATGTAGAACAACCAGTAAGATTTTTGCCGATATTTGGTAAATTAAGTGTGAATCTAAACTCTTCATCAGAAATTATACTAAAACCTGAGGAAAACACAAACATGAATCTTGAACCACTAACTAAACACTCAACACCAAACCTTCCTTTGGACACCGTGCTGCTGCCTTCCTGGTATTTCCTTCTGGGATCTTCCTTCCATTCTTTGTACTTTTTTGTTTTGAATCACACTACTTTAATTGGAATTTATAACAACAGCTTGAACTAGAACTCTCTTATCCCACTCTCACATGAGAACAGAACTGCAAGATAAAATAAGCAAAAGACAATCTTCAACAAGTATCTTTACAAAGAATAAATAGTTGCTAGAGCATCCTTTTCTTATTCATTTTCAGTAGAACCAAACCTTTCCTTTTAAAATACTTTTTATTTTGTGGTATCAGTATTTCTTCACTTTGTCTGCACATACTGAAGGACAAGCTGGGTACCCTCCCCCTCTTCTTACTGCAGGTTAGCAAGATGTACATCATACATCCCCCTCAACCTTTCACTTTCTCTCACCCACAGATAACATACTCCAGTAAACAGGGATTCTTTTTCTCTAGAAAAGCCTTGGTCTTCCCCAGAAACAATATCAAGTTGCTGTGAAAAGCGAATGAAAAGGCCTATCAGCATCCCTGCCAACAAACACAATATTTAGTGTAAAAACTGTACCCATTTTGTTTTGCATGCTATGGTTACTCCAGTGAAAAGTATTTCTTGGCCCAGTATTAGTTCCAATAGTAAATATTTCAAGCTTCACACAGAAAACAATCACTAAGTATTTCTGCAGAAAACAGCTTCACACTGACAACTTGCAAAGAGAGGCTACATTCATTAAATAAACTATTAATGCTGAACGTAACAGTGTTTATAGAAACAGGCTTCGAACTAACTGAAGATGTCTTTCCACTGATTCAACCTCTCAGCAAGGAGTAACTAACCTCTCTGTCTTTCCCACAGCCACATAAATGGCAGCAAGGCCAGTCTCTCCCATCCCCAACACTACACATGGTCACATTTCATTTAATGAGTATAAACCTTTGTAGGTCTCTGAAACATGAAGGGATGAGGGAAGGGCATCAATTACTTTTTAGAAACCTTTCTATCTGTATAACTTACCTGTCTGCAGAAAGAACTGACAGGTTCTCAAAGAGCCCCGAGGTGCTGACCGGCAGTGCTGTCTAGCTCCATACCAACTCTACCTCGTATGTCGGAGAGACACGGAAAATCGGTGTGGAAAGCAGAAGGCTCGGACTCGTAGAATTTACTCGCTGTCAGTAAGAAACTATTACCTTCTATATGACGATATCTAGAGATTTCAGGGAGAAAAGTTCAAGGCAAACAAAATGCATTTTTAACATTTTATTGATGAACAGCAGAAAATGCAGCTTTTGTTTATTATACTGCTTGATGTAATATCAATTTGTACATGTGTAAATAAACTTTTGCACACTTACAACATTAGAGTTGCTGTTCTGAAAAGAACTCGGACATATGGTGGCAGTGATGGACATCACCCCGAGAGCGATCAAGGATACAGAGCAGAGTGGTGGGAGCAGCAGAGGGACCCAAGGACTGCAAATCCAACTACAGCCACACAGCAAATTGTCAGTGGTTGCTTCGTGCTGAGCCATCTGATGACTGGACTACACTGCCAGCAACAGATTAAAGACAGCTGGAGTGTGTCTACACAAAACGATAACTTGATGCTCTTTGCACAGAGCAGGATCTGCCTTACATGACACAGCAAGCACTGCAGGTGGCCTTTCACCACATCGTGCTTCCCAGGAAGGAGTTTTGTCAGCAGGGAACACACACAGCCCTTTCACCTGTACACCCAGAGGCTCGCTAAACTGCTGCTCCACATCCTTGTGGGATCCACATCCTGTAGCATTTTCTTCAAAAGTTATTCCTGTGTCTGTATCACAACTTATCAGAGCCCACGAATCCCGCTGTTCATCTTCTCTATCAGCTACCTGTGTTACCCCTGCCTTGAGAGCAGACAGCAGTCCCAAATAGGATATGTATGTGTATGTAACGATTTTTGGTTGAGAAGTGGTCTTGTAACACAGTAACTACAGATCTGCAGACGAAGGTTTGAAATGGTGCTCCGCAGACTGCTTTCCATCTTCCAGAACTTTGGAAATGCGCTGCAAAAACCAGGAACAGAGTATGTTAAAGTGACGACTGTACTGGATTCAGTTGTAGGCATATTAATTACTAGCTTGTGTCCTTAAGCTGTGGCTAGAGAAAAAAAAAGACACTGACCAAATCCTGGATATTTTAGATTAATTTCTCTATTCTGCAAAGCCATAAAACTGTCCACATGATTTCAATCCTGCTGTCAAGCTCTCTTACAAACGGCTTTTCAGATGTATTCAGTTCTCTTTCAGACTTGTAAACCAGACATTTTGTCCTTACTTAATATGCTATTTAGGTTTAAATGTGAGTGGATGAGGTACTGCTGAAAAGCCATTGCTCCTGTTTCCTAACAGAATATGTGAGAAACTGAATAGAAGTGAAACCCTACAGATTTCAAATTAATGGGTTATTCTCGTTCCTACCAGAGACACACAATTATGAACACACCTAAAAGCAGATTTTCCCAAATGCTGCTCTATGCTCCCTGAAGGCACTAACCGTATTTCTTTAAAAGACTGCAGAAACTAATGGATGAACACAAAACCTATCCGCCAGGGAAAAGAACCCAAGAAAACACAAACTCTGCTCTGACAGCTCAGCAAAGAGCTGACACGTAAGACAGGGCAGGCGCCACAGGATGCGCTATGCCTAGTGGCAGCGACCAGCATCTGTATTACATGGCACTCTCCCCTACTTCAAATAGTGTGAAAACTTCAAAACTTTTGCATCTCACCGTCTGCACTGAGTAGTCATTTTTTTCCTTTCAAATGACATGAAATCCAATAGTTTTAACTTCTGAAGTTTCCAAAGAAATCAAGGAAAGGTTTGTGGCTCTAAAGGAAGGCAAACTGAACTGGTTTAAGCAACACTACTGACTCCAGCCTAAGCCGATTTGTACTTTCAGAGCAGCACCTCTGACCCCAGAACCCGTCTGACGCTGTGCCTGGTCTGTGCACGCTGACGCCGGTGCTCGCTGCCCAGTGCGGTCAAAGCCGACGGGAACCAACTGCCCTCCCTCTTCTGCCAATCCATGTTCCACACAGCAAATCGGAGAAAATGAGTAGGTCAAATGGGACCTCTTGTGGTACGGGCACAGAACGGCACATGTCAGCCTGCCTGCAAACACACGCAGATGCACACCCCTGCCCCAGAAAGGGCAGCCAGAGGCAAATTTTTGCTGACCCAGAGAATTTCCACTCCTCCCTCTGATGAGAGGAGCGAGGAGAAAAAAAAAACTATGGAATTTTAAATCGACTTAATTTTCAGAGCACAGAAACTTTGAAGAGATAACACTTTCTTCCCCAAAACCCACACAACTTACCATTGTTTTAAATAACTGGTTCACTTTCTTTTTTTTGAAGGTCTTCTTGTCACCATCGGAGGTGGAAGGAAACACTGGCTGGCTCAACCTATGTGACGCAGTTGTTTCATCGGGTGTCCCAACGCTGACGGACAGAGTCAATCCTGGGAAGAGAAACATATTGGTGGCACAAAACAAAGTCAAAAAAGGAGAGCCCCAAAGGTAAGATAAAGGAGAATTCAAAATAATGAACTACTGCAACTAGTTCTACTTACTAGAACAAAATTAGGCATTTTTAATCTAACTACATCCTTAGAATACAAAAATAAGTAGACATTTCCTCATTTGTTAATGGGGAAGCACTAAGCTTCATTACACTGAAACTGAATAGCGAAGAAAAATGAACCAATCTGGTCAAAGAATTAAAAATAGATAAATAAGTACATGAAAAGGAAGCGGGCCACGACAGTGGTGTGTTGTGCTAAACGTCTGTTACAGGCATCTGGAAAAACAGGGCCAATGAGCGAGGTAGATGAAGTGCAGGCTAAGGAACAGGAAGAAGTAGGAGCTAAAGGGTATTGAAAATGGGCACATTTTCTCTATACGTCCTGGCCTCAAAATGAGTTCCACCTTCAGTTTCCCCTTCTCTATCATGCAACCGTCAGTCCTTCTAGTGGGCAGTGATGTTGCCTTGTTTCCCACTCCTCTTGCGGTGAGGGAGGCTTATGAGATCCCTCTATAACGTCAGCAGCAGAACTGAAACCCCACTATGGGGCAACCCTTAGGGATATTCATCTGCCCAAGCAAAGTGCAGAGCATTTCTTCCTGTTTCAAACGTGGCCCTCGGCACGAGGGCAGGCTGCAGAAGCCAAGTGAGGAAGATGAACAGACCGTGCCTCTTTCAGGGCAGGGAGAATGCCCACGCTGCAGGAGGAAGCAAAATTTGAAGCTCCAGAAGTAACGCTTTTAGAATGTCAGCACTCGGCAGCACAGTGCTGTCAAGCAGCAGTGGCAGTCCAGACTTAAACTGTAGTCTTCATCTCACAGGCACGGAGCCTCATCAAAAGAGCTACCTACTCTGCCAGGAGCAAACCCTTAATTGCCATGTTTTCCTTACACAGCAGTACGGCAGCGCAGCACCCTTATCCTACTGCAAGCAGCTTACCTGGGATAGTGGGCATGGAACGACTGACGGTACTCATCTGCTTGAGGACAGATGTTTTCTGAGGGGCCACTACATGTTCTGAGAGGTTGGTGTCACTCATGAACTCGTATTTCCTTGAAAGCTGTTCAATTAAAAAAAAAAGCCATTAATGATGTAGTGAAATATGAGCAACAAAGGTCTAAGCAAAGTAATATTTTGTTAAAAGCATAAAATAACATAACTAATAAACTAACTTTCACGCCTAACCCAAGTTCTTTATGGTATTGTTTGCTGAGTAAACAATAAAAGTAACACAGAATATTATGCACTAGCTAAAACCATGTAGTGATTCTGCAGATGATTTATAGTTAGAGAAATACTTCTCGTTCCACATACAGAAAACATCACTAAAGAAGCTAGCCAGCAGGGATTCTGTAATCTGGCACTGTAGGATGATCTCCCTACCACATCTCTGGAATAGCACATCAGCCAGCTCTGACTGTGATCTGCAAAGTGAAATGGAGTTTTGAACGCCTTCCTTCCTACTGCATTAAGCCATTTCCTGGCTGCTGTGAGGCTTGTCACTATTTTTCTGAAGCCAAAGAAAACCCTGTAACTCAAGGTGTAGTGAGATTCCCACAGCTAGGTGTACGTGTTACCTAATTTAATCAAAAGACAAAGGTTTTGTATACTAATGCTTCTGAGGGCATGACTCTGCTTTATCTCTCTCTCTTGGATAAGGACACGTAGCGTAAGACCATCGTAAGCCCAAGCGTCTCCTTGTTTTCCCAAAGAACCTTAGCTTTCCACTGAATTCGCTTTGCCTTTTACGATTCCTTCAGAACTTCTGCTCAAGTGACTTATGCTCTCTCCATGGAATTCAACAGCCTGTTACTGCCTGACATTTTAATTACATAGGGCTCGCCTAGCAAAAGGACATCGTCCACATTTTTTTAATTATTTCTTTTTATACTAAAAGAATAAAAGTCTTCTGAGAACTATACTACCAAAAAAAAACCCCAAAAGAGCCCGCAGTAAGTTATGAAAGTCATTCTAATGATCTAGCAGTGCAATAAAACCACTCAGATGATCCACGGAGCAAGAGATGCCAGCGCTTCCAAACTTCACCCTGGCACTGTTTAAGGAACACCGCTTGCAATCTTGCAGTTTCCTAACAGCTGCGTGTTCCGTAACAAGGTACAAAACGTACCAGGCTCATCACTTTTGAAAGAGCCCTGACTGCAAGCAACTGCCATGAAATGTCAGCAGAGTCAATTGCCTCTCCCCAGCTTAGCCCTCCCAATGCAGTTTTACGCTAACCAAGCTTCAGAATTTGCAACTTCGGGGCTATATCATCTGTCATCGTAAGCAGAGATGTTCCCATGCTTCCACTGATTTGTTAACTCCTCAGCATCTTTCATGATTCATTCCTGGCAGGGCGGATCGTCCACCTCCTGAATACCCCCCTTCAGCTGGAGTTGTGTGTGAGGCACTTCTCTTTTCCTAAGGGAAGGAGTAATGTCCTCTTTTTTGCGGATTATAAATACTGCTCTAAATCAGTGACGTACGCATTTCATGTCAGAGATCTCCGGCGCCACCTTCTCGTCAGCAAACACCACACTGCTTCTTTTTGTTCTTTTTTTGGACCTTCTCATCTTTACTTCAGGGTGAGGATTAATTTGCAGAGCAGCCTCCTCTGATTCCGCTTTTACTGGCTTTGGTAGCATTACTTCCAGATCAAAGCTGCAGAAGCAAAAGAAAAAAGGACAAGTTGCTGAGTGATATTTTAAAAGCCACTGGTATTCTGATGTCATTTCCCCACAAAACAGAGATGCAGGTCATCCTCTGCTTTGACTTTCTACGCAGCCTTGCACGCTGTTGGCCAAAAGTAAACGATGTGCTTCAGCTGGCACCCGTAGATACAAGTAAGATACCTTCAGGAGGTACGACGTCACCTTAAAATGTTGCAAAGAACGTAAAACACGGACGTGAATGCCAACCCCTTTTTAAAGGTCTGTGCATTAGCTTAGGGACTCCTGAACTCAACAGAGTTAGAGCTCACATGGCACGTTTATGCACAGTGATGACGGTGCTGAAGGCAAGACGCGCCACGCTGGTTGCTGAAAACGCTGGAAGAGACTATTACTATTTATTCTTATGTTTTAAATGCATCCCCCTCTTCATTTCACTTTATGAGACAACAAGGCACATACCCAGTGCTTAGAAACTAAAGTCTCCCTCTTTCTCTTCCCCTAATTTTTATAGTTTAAAAATTGGCCTACTTTTCCTCTAAAAACCCAACCCAATATGAAATCGGGGCTGGGTTTACTCCCTCCTCGGCTGATGCAATCACCCTACTGAACATGGGGCTGACCTTATTTTACAACAAAAATTGATAGAGCAAGCAGTACGATGAATTTGTCAGCCCATGCTTCCTAAAAGCAAATGAGGATCCTAAGAACCAGAAGCAGGTGCGTGATTCAGCTGCTGAAGTGTAGTCGCCTGGTTCCACAGGAGGCGTTCCGCTGGATGTAGAGACACGGGGCTGGCAGGTACGACATACATCACCTTTGTGTGCTACACCCTTCTTGAGTGGAAGCTGAAGGGCAGGAAGAACGGCCCTGGCGGCCCGGGGCATCTCAGTGTGTGATACTACACTTCTTTGTTAGACAACTCAAAAAACTGAATGGAGTAGTATTAAACAACGAACTGGGAGTCAAACATACAGGAGTAGAGTCGTATCTTAAGAAGAAAGACTTCCAAATTAGGGTCATACACTTTGGGATTTTTAAAGTGAACTACCCAGAAAGTGAAACTGGATGCCTTAAAAAAAAAAAAAAAAATCACAATCAAACACTGTTTAGGAAGATCAGCTTTATATGTGCCTTGTTTGGGAAGAAGTTCTGTGTGTCCAGAAGATAATTTATAAATTGATTAAGACCATTTGTGGATTAAAAAGCTAACCAATACACCTGTAACTGTCCTCTCAAACGTCATTTTGTTTCCCTGCACTGCAGTTCAGACAGCGTATCAGGCAAAGCATTTTACGTTACTACAGGCTTTATCAAACACTCCACCTCCCAACCTGTAAGTTTGTAAAGGCTTTCCTCTTCCTTTCCAATTTTTACCATAAGGATATGACGTTAAAAGCTGTACAAAGTTGCAAAACCCCCAGTTCTCTGTATTTTTTTGAAATGCCATTTAAATTATAAAATACTTGTTTCCTGAAAATCAAATGTCACTATTTTTCAGTAGAGAATTGAGTAAATTTTTGTATTAATCTTGAAATACTGTAGTGTTAAGCCTGGAGGAAGTGATAGCCACAGTTAGCAGTGATTTTGGCACAGTCTGAAGGGACTGCTAGTGGTCTTTTACCCTTGAATACCTTTTTAAAAATCTTGTAGTTTCATCCCATAAAACTGATTAAAGACCAGGACTAAGAGAAAGTCTGTACTGTACTCATAGCCAACCTTTCTGAAGCAAGTCTGTTTGGTGTACTGCAGTCCGAATTCATGGAGGTCAGCGAAATAACTGATAACTGACGATAGGATCGCAGCATTGATCTTGGCCGTCCTACTCTCTTGTCATCAAAATCTGGCTACAGGATGGAAAAGAGAAACACATTCTGTCAAACAGCTTTGTGGGAAGCTCATTTCAGTCCTTTCACTAGGTCTTGAAGATTGAGTACAGATGTTTTGACATATTTGCTACCATGAATTACTGTGATTGCCTCTTCTGTCTGGATACACACTTGCTCTAAGATCTCTCATGCTCAACAATAAGGTGAGTAGCTAAATAAACTACAGTTGATATAATTAACTTTTTTTGAAAAATAAAGATCAACAGACACTTTTCTTTTGAACAAAGCTGGGGCACACCACTGAAGTACGTGCTTAGGTAAATACTTAGTCTTTGCTCCAAGACAATAATCAGTCTGCATCTCCAATACAACAGGTTCTGCCATCTCTATACACTGATATAGCCTTTTTTATTTATATGTTGGCAAATGTTGGACAAAATTGGCATTTCTCTAATAGCTAGACAGGAAGAGCAGGAGGATTCTCCAGGTCACCATGTCTCCATATTGCACAATGCCATGTATGTTCAAGCATTAAGCAAGACTGTTAATTGTGGACTGCGGCCTCTCTATTATCATGGCATGGGACTGAAAATAAGAGAAACACACTGACATAAATAAGCAGAATTTTCATTAGATAGGTGTGTAACACAGCACAATATCCAAAATTTAGGTTAGAAACTTGCTACATTTTACCCTATCAAAGAAGAAATAAATCCTCATAAAATCATCAACGCTGAAAGCAGCAACATAAAATAATTTCCAAAGCAACTAGGGTTTAATCCCCCAAGCCAGCCAACATAACTCTTGCTAGTCTGCGCAAGGTCAGATAGAGTATTTTATTCAAGAACTGTCTGGAGCGTTTGTGTTCAGAAGTTATCCTCAATTCCCATATATTTCAGTTTGGTCTCAACTAGTATTTATAGCATTACACCCACGATAGGTTTTACTTCCCAACACAGCTGGAAGTGGCTAGCACAGGAAGACATCAGTTGCAGATCAAACCCCTAAACCACTAAGAAAAATTACAAAGAAGAGAAACATGAGAATTTGCTTTTACTTCCTAAATAAGGCAGAAAAGAATTGCAAGTTTAATAGACATACTAAAATACTCCAAATTTTCCAGATTGAGGCATATTTGATAGGTCAGAGAATTGAACCAACTCTCTGACTAGAAAACTCAGGTCTCTGTACCTTCAGATGAGAAGAACACTTCAACAGAAGTTTAGCATGTTTTTGTTTAGAAGACAAGATACGTATTCGGTGAAGAGAAAGTGCAGGAGAGGGTAAAAGGAGAGCAATACCAATTCTCTGGTTCCATACTGTTTTTCCACTTTGACTTTTAAATGCTTGAAACATTCCTCCATACGATCATGGAAAGGACGAAGACTTTCAGAAACTCTTCTTTCATGGATTTTGATTCCAGCCCCAAGGAAAGGTATCTTAAAGAGGGAAAAAAAGAAGAAAAAAAAAAAGTGAGACTATTAAACTGGGTCTGACAACTCCTTTACCTGCATTTGGAGTATCTGCTGATTCAGCTGTCAAACTCTGGCTGTGACTGGCAGACAGATGTGGCTGCTGATGTCGGCTTTCAGCAGCAGCTACACAAGGGAAAGGGCTCCTGAGAAATAAGCTTGCCCAGTAAGTTTCTGAGGATTGGTGGTGGCCTCACAGTGACAGTTTTCTCTCTTCCATGTATTTTAAGGTTAACCATTCATGAGATTAAACATAACCAAGCCAGAGTTTAAAAAGTTCTCAGACTACCAGCCCACCTGCTTATGAAGGTGCCCTGTCATTTACAAGAAAAAAGTTAGGGATGAAAAAATATCCAAGTGGATTCCAGGCAGGTGGTTTCAAACTCTTCTCTTTCAGAGTCAATCTACTGGGGGCTTAATCACGTGATGGCTCTGACAATCGCTGCAGCAGCGTAATCCGTTACTGACTGGTTACTGAAGGTGATCACTGCCCTTCTCCTCGATTTTAGTCTGCAGGTCTTCTCTGTACTCCCCATACGTCTAGAAAATCTCAGGAAGATAATGCTTCAGTACAAAAATGAACAACTCGAGCCATGACCAGAGGCAGCTGGCACGAACCAGTCTGACTTGGCTCAATTTTACCCCTTTCCAGTGAGAAGTAACCAAAGGGGTTAAGATCTCCGGTTCTTCCTACCAGAGTTGAAAGAAGGCACATAACAAGTTTTTAAATAACGGGAGAGGGGGGATGCACCTATTCCCTTAAAGAAGAAGGCCTGATAAAAAAAGCTCTATCAGTTCATTAAATACCTCCCTCCCCTTGAGTTTCTTAAAAACTCCTCCTTTGTCAGAAGGAATGGCTTTTTTACCAAATGAGAAATAATAGTAATAATAGTTAAATCTTACACTGAAGCAAACACGGTAGTAGTATAACCTTCGTAACCCCTCTTCCCCACGTTTTTGTTTGCTATCATACTACTCCTATCTCCTTTGCTGTTCTATTAGTTTAATAACGCCCAGCTAAGAGCAAACAAACCAGACCTTACCTTCAGAGGTAGCTGACAGCACACTCTGACAGGCTGTTTATTCAGTGACAAACATATTCACAAAGAGGAACTTTGTAGTGCCTCTCTTTAAATTATAAAGATATTTTATTACTCTTCAGTCTCTGAAAATGGTGATTTATGAGTTTTGTGCAACATACTTGTAGCTACCTTTCTGCTAGTAACCTTTTCTAACTGCTTTACCATCCACTTTTAGCTGTTTTCCATTAATGTTTAGGGCTTTTTAAGTAAAATCCACTTAGATTCCACACTTCCCTTTTGTGTTCTGACACTAAAAATACTATTAATATCATACATATCTGTTCCCTTATTGACCTGGTCATATTTTAATGGAAGTTTTTTTAATTTTAATCTAACTTTGAAAAACACAGTATTAAAGCCCATCAACTACAGACAGATCTGTTTGTCCACCTTAGGGAGATTTACAGCGCTGGATATAAATCACCACTTTATTTCCTGATGCCAGGTGGTATTATGGTCATTTTATACCACTGCATCCACCGAGAACTTCTGATGGTCAGCAAGCAACCACATACAGAGCCTGTGGTGGGCCACGATACAGGAGAAAGGTGTAAAGGTTGGTGACTCGCACGAATAGCCAAACTGAGATGAACCAAAAAGAAACAGGAAGAAACTTGAAAAGCATTAAGAAAATAGTAGAAAAAAAAATCCATTTAAACTATTAGAATGATTCATTTCAAGGCTGAGAGAGGAATAAATGGTTAATTCTTGCTTTTTTTCATCTACAAAACAAACATAGTGTAGCCCTCTCACAGGGATGGCATAGGATTAAATCAAGGACTGTCATGGTTTAACTCCGGCTAGCAAAATACCATGAAGCCGCTCTCACAAATGCAGCACAATGAGGAAGAAGTTTTGAGTGAGTTGCTACAAAGAAAGAGACATAGAACATGACCAGAAATACCTTGAGCCATTCACTTCTGATAGTAAAACTGCAGATTAACTCACACTATTTCATAACATCCCTCTAGAAATGGAGGTCACTATATTATGTCTTTATATAGCCATTAGTATGCCCATTCATTTATACAGCAAACAGTTCTTTCTCACTTAAATCATCTACATTTCAGAGGATGTGGCTGTCAGTGGTTTCTTGACAAATCACCTATGTGCAAAAATCTTAGTCTCTTCTCTCACAGTCATTAATTTTGCCATATATCAATGGCAATAATTTCTATTTGGACTAGATATATTGATAATTACTGAGGTCATGTTTTTCTTCCCTCCATTATCATCACCAATGCTGAGGTCAATGCAAAGAGCCTTCAATCTCAGCAAAACCAGATTTTTCTGCTACCACCTCCCGCAGGTGCATTTTCCTCTTTGAGAACAAAAGGGTCTGCAGGTTGGGTTGGCTGGCCATATGTACACTAAAAATGAAAAAAACCCAAATAACCTTGGTGCTGCTAGCACAGGCAGAACATTCAGTTTTCCTCCAGAGATACAGATTAAAAATATTTACTAACGGCCTTGCCTGCTATTTGTCACACAGAAGTCATGTAGCCGCGATCTCCAAGGGTCGCTGAGCGTGAAAACAACTCCTGTGAGCAGCCGGCATTCCATTCAGGTTTCTAATACAAAAAATCCCAAACCCACAAACAAGGACACGCACCCACCTCTAGGAAAGAGTTATTTCCCAGAGAGAGTTTCTGACACTGACAAATGCTTGTTCTCCCAGCAATTCATGAAGTCCTCATGGCTTCGGCCATGCTCTCAGTTTTGTCTTTAAGAACACAGCCTACAGCACGGAGCTGCTGATGAACCATTCCAATGGATATGCTCTACAAAGTTCTTTCCTGGCCTACTGCCTGCCCTGGGACATAAGGAGATAGGGGCAATTCCCCTGACCCTGGTAGCATTCCATCTCCCTCTGAAAAGACACTGTAATGACGACACTCCTCGGGACACGTGGGGTTTGTAATTAAGCCATTTCTCCAGTTCAGGTACAGGTTTCAAAAAAACCCTGAAGGACAGGATCACTTACATCTCCCATAATGGTTTATCAATCACAGGCCACATCAGAGAGAGGAATTACTGCTGTGTTGTCTTGTCAGTGAGCTTAGTGGGGCAGTAATGGAATACATGCTTCCTGCTAGGCACCTTCCAACGGAAGGAGTTCAAGTCCTTTTTCCTACTTAAAGGAAACTTTTAATATCTAAATAGGATAATAAATAGAGAGTCCTTTTACAACTATACATACTCTGAAAGAGGAAGTTTAGAATAATCTAACAGAATATTTTGCTATGAATCCCTTTTCAAAAAATACTGTGAATTCATCACAAAACTAGACAGGAAGTTTGTAACAAGAATCTCATCCTTCTATCCCTCACTCCTTTGGGGAAACAGGAAAAAGAACCCCAAACACACAAAAATACCCCTGGTAATACGACACAATCATCTGAAAGCTATGATCTGCTGCTAGAAGGGAACAGAAAAAGGGAATAGCTGATGAAGCCTCAGATGACTGCTGTCAGTAAAAAGTTACCTGCCAAGCAATTAGGTCTTTGAGTCTATTCAGCTTCTCCTGATCCTCTGGATGGTCTCTGACGTATTCTTCTGTAAAGAAAGCCTTAGACAAAACACAGTTCAGTCCCATATGTTGACAGGTCAAGAAATCGGTGACAACTCTATTTACTCCAGCTGCTGACCATGATTTTGGTTACCAAATAAGACAGACACATATGCCCCTTAACCAGACGCTGCTAGTGATAATTTGTTACTGTATCACTTGAGAACTGAGGTACTCTTTACTGCTAAAAAAGACTAAAAACTCCTTATCCAGCACTTCTGAGTTTGAGACCCTTACTATGAAACCCAACTACTGTTTGCTTTTTCCGCTTTCACTGAAACAAAAAAAAGCACAAATTGGGAGTATCAGGATTTACATTGATAAATGAGCACGGTATTCAGGTACCCTCCTTGCTGACATCGGCCAGTGTTACACAGTGAAGAAAGAGAACTCCTTGTATGTATGAGCAGAGCCAGACTGCATACACACTGACTTCTGCTGCCCAAAGGTTTTATCCCCCAGGTACAAAAGAATACAGCTGTTCATCCATGACTGCACACAGCTAAACAAAGGATACTTTAGGAGTAACATACCATGTCACTCCTCCAGAACGTGTCATGCTTACCACATACAATCTGTGTGTGTACACATACATATTCATACGGCATCTTTTCAGCATTAGCCAAGCCTACTGAGCGTGGCACATGCTTTCCATCAGGAAATGGCAGGCAGAAATAATAGAGCTCTACAGTGGTGCTGTAACCCCACATTCATTTTCCTTCAAAACATTATTAATTTAGAGTTTAAATTCCTATGATTTTTTAGGATTCCTGCTCTCTCCCCTATGCCTTCACAAGGTGGCCTTGGGGACAAATCTTCAGTTTTTATTTGCATTCCCATTTTTTAGCAACAGAACCTGCAACACAGAATGGCTGCAGTTGCTGAGGAAACCTGATGACGGTTTAACTGACAACCCACATGTAAATGCTTCAGACCTACTGTGGGATAAACCTGACTCATTTACTCCAGGCTAAACCTTCTGATGTGCAAGAGGTTTCATCACAAAAGGGGTATCTTGTCTCACACTTAATACCGACCTTCAGTTACTCCAGTTTTCTAGTTTCTGCTTTCAGACAGATGTGACCAGGATATGAGGATCTCTTAATTGGTGGAGTTACAGCTTTCACATACCCAGCCCACACTCCACTGCCAGTTCGAACAAAGGATGTAGGAGGATTATGAAATAATATATCTGAATATGTTCTTTGCATTGACTTAAAGCTCTTACCTTCTCGTATTTAGCAAAGCCGCCCATAACAGCTGGATCAACGATTCCATTCAGAAGCATAGAAAGTGGATTAATGGGAAGGTTCTCATCACTCTGGTACTGGTTAATCATCATCAGAATTTTTTCGTTTGTCGTGGACATAGTCTCAATAGCATTCTCTAAAGGACTAATTGTAGTCTACAAAGAAACAAAAGACTTTCAAGGTTTATAGAAAGAGATAAAAAGGGTATTTTGGTTTTATAACCAACATTCATACAACTCAGCAAACCAATACAAATTTGTTCTGTTCTCTTAAGACACGGTCCTGGAACTATGAATCGTGTGTAAGATACAATGATCCCAGCAGTAGAAAGATAAAACATAAGTAGCAACAGTTAGGTATGTATAAAAGTAAGTAAATGACAACAGCCCTGTGTGATACATTTGCAAACTATTTTGCACACAAGAACTCATACAGATACGTGTTTTATGGGTTCTTTGCACGTTAATACGCACCTGAGACATGGAGACAACCTCAAACCATCGTAAAATTCCAGGGAGCTTGTATGCTGTAACAAATGATGTTCTCTCAATCCACATCGACTATTAAAGAAAGAGAGCAGGGAGAAAATGATGCTTCAGGATTTAAACTTCCATCTTTTCCACCTTCTGAAGCGTCAGAGTGAAAAGAACATAGATGGAAAACATCTGCACATTTTTGCCTAAGAAGACACTGCAAAATGAATCTAGCACAGCAATTTGCCCAAATCATTTTTCTGATTTCCGCTGAGGTCATCTTCAGGCGCTAAGCCGGCACACCGCAGAAGGAAGGAAATGACCCTTGAATCTTTCAGTCTCTGTTCCTATTTTTGCCATTACAGGGTGAATGACGGTGACTAAATGACCCGCTCTCACCTCACCCAGACTATGCTTCCTGCCTCCACTTCTGAAATACATTTCTGCAATTAAAAGCAGTAACAGCCCTATAACTACTTCCCAGCCTTTCTTTTTCCCCTTCTGAACTAGCTGTTCAGCTGTTTTAAAACGATACTTGTTCTTTTACCCCACTTCTCCTTATTTTACCAATATCAGCCCATCTAAACTGCCAGTACTGAAAAACATAATAATGAACACAGTGAGGACATACTCCAATGATCCCAATTTCCCCCTATTTGAAGTAAGTATGCATATTATCTATTGTCATCAGCAGTGAAAACGTTAACAATTTCGTTTTTGTAAAACCATTTCAAGGTATATTCATAACTGGCTTGAAAACTCTCCAGTTTGCAAAGGAAGCCAACCAGTCTTGATAATACAGTGCAAAGGTGGGAAGTCAGGGTAGAGCTTGCTCGTGAGGCCTTTACTTTAACAGCAGGTAAGCAGCCCCTCACAGGAAACTGTTGACACTACTGATCAGCACACACGGAACTGAAATTTTACAGTTTGGAAATAAACAGCTTTTCTCATCAGTATCCCAAGAGCATAGCTTTAGCCATCAAAATGGGGCCTGTAGTGACAGGACAAGGGGTAACGGGTTTAAATTGAAAGTGGGGAGGTTTAGATTAGATATCAGGAAGAAGTTCTTCCTGGAGAGGGTGTGGAGCACTGGGACAGGTTGCCCAGAGAAGCTGTGGATGCCCCATCCCTGGAAGTGTCCAAGGCCAGGCTGGATGAGGCTTGGAGCAACCTGGTCTAGGGGAAGGTGTCCCTGCCCATGGCAGGGGGGTTGGAACTAGATGGGCTTTAAGGGCCCTTCCAACCCAAACCATTCTATAATCTATGATCCCAAAATTGGATGGTCTGGTTTTCATCACAAACTACAAAACTTCAGGTATCTGTATAATTAAAATATAGTAACTTCTTGCGTTTTTATGCACAGGGGTGAAAAATAATCTATGGCATTGCAGATTTCCCGGGGTACTGGAACAAGACAGTCTCTCAGCATTACACCATTACGCATGGGAACAACAGTGACACAGGTAGCGCTCCAGTCTGTCAAGATCTGACAGGGCTGATGAAAGCAGACAACACACACCTCTCACTGCCAAGCTGGCAGCTGACAAACGTGTTGTAAACTACAAGAGGCAAACCATTTGATATTTATTTACATGTCATCTTGTTTCATAATGAAAATCTGTACCAGCAAATGTTACTGCCTAACGCAAACGTGTTGAACATACTTAAGTACCTAACGTTTACGTGCAACTGAAGCAGTGATGGGTCACTGAGTATCTACACAGTAGTGCTGAAATAGAGAAATACTGCATTTTATCTTTTTGAAACCGATCCTGAAGTTAGGGTGTCTGTAATGAGTAATCCGAGACTAAGAAAACATCTAGATCAAAATTCAGCCATGGTTACCAGAACTGCAACCATCACCTTGTCATCCATTTACTTACAGCAAATTCATTTTCAGGGTCAACAGATCCTTTTCTGACTGGTCTTGAATAGTGGAACTGGTGCACATTGTTGGACTTATAAAAACTGAAAAATTTAAAAAAGACTACTATAACATACATAAATTTATGGATCTTTTTATCACAGTGAAGTATTTCATTTTGCGTCAGTTGAGTTTTTAATTAAAAGCAAATTTACTGCTCAGAAAAAAAAAAGGCACTTTACTGAAAACTCAGGAGACAACTACTTTAGCTATAAATCAGGTCAATACACAGTACTTTACAAGTATTAAGCTTCAGCTTCTGACTGGGTATAATTTCCAGGTATAAAAACTCCAGAACTCCGAGATTAATGTTAAAACCTAGAGAAGAAGGTCCAGACAAGATTTTTACTTTCCTGTATTCTTGCTGTTTTATCTACAGTGCTGTATAATGGCATACAAAGGGAGTATATTTGCTAAAAATAACTCAGAACAGAGCGGATATATTCACCTGGACTGAAATACATGATTTTGCAATCCACAGCACATGCCAAATCAGTTTAATTACGTCTAACAATTCCGGTCACACAGCAGAACAATGGCAATTCAATAAACTAAACATTTGATGCCATTAATAACTTTTTTTGTTGTGATAAGGAAATGTATATAAACATTTGTAGAGGGAGACATCAATGTCAAGACATTTATTGCAAATACACGTTATGGTCTATTCTATTTAGCTCATGAATCATTCTCAGTCACCGTGAACACCTATTTCCACCAAATTCATAACCTCTCGGCTTCTAGCGCTGGCTAATTTGAAAGAACAGAGATTGCACAGTGGGTAAGTATTTTGCTGTCCACAGAACAATGTCTCCTTTCCTGTTAAAGCTCGCTCTCTCCATTCTTCTCATAATCCTCCTTTGCATATTGATGGATTTGGAGACAAACATCTCAGAAGCCTGAAGTCAGCCAATATTCCAGTAGGTACTGTACCCAGAGTTTTGGCCCCAGCTAACAGAAATAACTTTTCACAAATGTGGTCAGAACACTGAATTAGGAGCAGGTAAATACGCTCAACCTGTTCTGTTTTGGGTTAGGAGTTTGGAAATATTGGCCAATCTGTTCTCAAAATACTGTGGACAATTAATTTCCTTTATTCCTTTACAAAACCTTGCCCGTAGTGTCAAGGCAAACCATTTTGCCACCACGTGCTTTGCACTTGGCAAGAATCCGTAACAAGATTCCGTTGTACCATTCTCATACCACCAGTCACCAGTAAGATCCCGCTCTCACACCACTGGCCCAAGAAGTTCTGCTGAAAACTCAGTAACTTGGACCCCAAGCATGGATTCCCCCTCCCTCTCTGTAACCATATGCTATTCCTTACAGCATTCTGTCACGAGTGTCCCAGGGAATACACAAGTCAGTAAGCTAAGACGATAAGAGCTGTAAAATTCATTGGCAAATAACTGAGTTGTGAAAATTATGGTTGTCATTTTAGGAACATGGACTGACTTTCAGTACGTTATCTATTACAGAAATTCACTTACTTTATAATTTGATCAGGTACTGCCTTATTTTTGAATCTAGGTTGCTCCTCCAGGACTGGCTGAACTGTAAAACACTGGATATCTGAAGTCACGAAAGTTAAGGGCATGTTAAACCAGCAGTATGAAATACTGTAGGTTCCAGGCAAAATAAAATACAATGAACAAAAAAATAAAAGACAATATTTCCTGATGGAAGATCTTCAGGGTTCAGGGTTTCCTTTTTGGAGCTTTTTTGGCTAAAACAGGAAAAATCTGTCAGTAGTAACCAGTGAATATATACAAATATTAATTTTTTAATTATATTGTAAAATATTGCATATCTTTATTATTTACTGAGCTTGAATATCTGTATCTGAATTTATCACACTGAATGATTCATTAAGTTTTAAAGCCAAGCCAACTTACAAAAATAACATCCACAGCATCTGATGTTAACAGTTTCACTATTTAGCTTTAGGCATGCATAATGTCACAGTGTTTAGCATCTCATCTCTGAAATGTGCAGCTGAGCAGCCCCTTCACCCGAGACTCCCTTTTCCTGTGCTAGAGTTACTTTCCAGTCTGAATACTGTATTTGTAAATTAATACATCATATTCTTACACGTTTCCATTTATCTGAAACGTGTGCCCTCTGGTTTGATTTGTAGCTGTTTGTAGTGTATCTCCTGTTAGCTGCCAACAGACGAGTAACTTCTACTCTAAGAAAGGACTGAAGCATATGATCCCAAAAAAAAAGTGAGGACACAAAACACTTAGGAGAGCTTGGCTCTCAAGTTGAATGTACTACATGAGAAAAGCCTGTAATACTCTCTGCTCCAGCCTCAACAGTGTGAAAAGAAAGCAGCATTCCTTTTCTCCTCCAGCAGGTTCCACCAGAAGAGACTCAAGAGAGCATGTGAAGTATTACAGTATTACTTTGAAAATGAATAAAGGAAAATGAACGTGTGAAAAAAAAACGGTCTGATACAACGAGGCGATCTCATATCTGCTCAGACAGCAATGATTTAAATCAGAACATGAAGAAAAAGATAATGCATAGAGTACTTCTTCACAAGAATAATTCAGGGGGTTAATTATATCTGTGAGTTCATTTGCCCAGAAGAATTTGCGAGTGACAGAGGGCACATTTATGTTGCCAAGGAAAACAGGTGATGCCCAAATGCAGTGCCAGTCAGACCAATGTTCAAGGACAACATGGATTTACTATCAAGACACGACAGCTAGGAATGTGAATTAGCAGACAAATTGCTGCTTTAAACTTAGCCAGCTCAGGTGTTCACCACCCGTTGTGCCATTTGAAGAAAACAAGGTACACCATGGATTTTCTTCACTGAAAGGGCTGTCAGCACTGGAACGGGCTGCCGGGGAGGGGGTCACCAACTCTGCAGGTACTTGAGACACGCGTGGATGTGGTGCTCAGGGACACGGTTTGGTGGTGGAATTAGCAGCGCTGGGCCAAGGGCTGGCCCCCATCTAAAGGGGCTTTTCCAACTGAAATGATTCTGTGATGACTAAAAGAGACAGACTCCTTAGAACTGTGAGAGAAACAGAAGCAAACATCTTAGGAACAAACCACAAGCGACACTGCAGGGCACAGAAGTAAAACTGCAAACTGAGCTGCCTTATTAATAAACTTCCATCCTTTTTAGGAAATGATTGTCCCACACAGACAAACTCTTGCTGAAAACAAGGTTTCCCCAACCTGCCTGCATTCTGTCATCTCCCGCGTGTTCAAGGATACGCTGACCAGGAGAGTTCTTCACCTCCTCCCCAGGTGCCGAGGTGGTGTTCATCTTCTCCGCGCTGGGAAACTGACTCAGCAGCTGGGCCTGGAAATCCTCCCTCCTCTCATACTCCTTCCCACGATAGATGAACACTTTGTTCTGCAAGGAATCAAGAGCTGTTTTCTTGGGCCGCGTGACGCTGCGGCACGAGTCAGAGATGCATGTTTAGCAGCAGAAACACACAATGGGGTCTTCAAATTTCGAAATGAGTGTTACTGTTTTCTGAATATTAATTAACTGTAAAGCAAGATGCCCTTTGACCAGCTGCTGGAATGCAGCACTGACTCTCCAAAGATGATACTTTGTGCTTGTTAGACACAATGAGGATAAACTGGCATCATCACGGAGGATGCTCCTGTAGAGCAGAATAAAATCAGAATGGGAGGTAAGAAAAGTACTGAAATTCCTTTTCTTCTTGTCTGTCAAGTAAAAGTGGTTGCTTTCAAATACATTCTGAGTCCAGGTTTCCTCTGCCTGCTCCTTCTCCTTGGTAGTACAAGTTATAATTCAGTCTAACCCCAAATGTGCACATTTGTGGCTCAGTTTGCTTCATTTAACAGGATACTTCTATAGTATCAGAAACAAAAGTTGCATGCTTCCTTTGGTGTGAAATGAGCATATCTTCACTATTTTCTCCAATGTTTTCAAGGCAACTTTGGCCTTTAAATCTGGGAGAGAGGTCTTCCGTTGCGTTTCAAGTGTGAGGAAAGCTACCATTTTCATCGTAGTATGTAAGAAAAGACTTTCTTCTATGAGAAAACATCAAATATTCAGCTTATTTTTATGCTCTGAAGAGATGCACTGCTCTAGTTAAAAGAAAGCAATGACCCTTAAAAAAACCAAAGTAAAAGCCGGGTGTGCATGACTTCCTAGGTTTGGCAGGTTTCTTGAAAAAATAGATGATTTCTCACGTGGTAGTCAAAAATGTAGAAGAAGGAAACAGAGGGCAGATTCAGAGTATGGAGTTCTGTTTAATCCAAACCGTTTGAGCTTACCGTAACTGTCCTAAAATACCAACTAGCTGTTACCATCCAGGAAAAAATTTAAGAGTAACACAGGACAAGTGGTACGAACACACCAGCTGAGTGCGTATGAGAGACCAAAAAAGCCACCTGAACTGCAGTCATTATGAGGAAAACAGGAAAACAAAATAGTTATCACACTGAATAAATTCACAGTGTATCCATGTTTCAAACACTAGGTAGGTTTCTTGCCCTACCATCTCATGAGCTAGCAACTGGGCAGCATGGGAGCCAGGCTATTAAAACATATGGAATGGTTGCTGTGGAAGCAATGTTGAAACCAAGACTAGAGCAGAACAACATGTCATGAATGGCAACAACTGTTCAGTCTCTCTAAGAACCAGAGAAATTGGATGACAACGAAAAGGCAGCAGTAAATCTCCCCCACCCAGAGCTGTGCGCTGTGAGGCCACAGTGTGTGCTGGAGGGCATCTCTTCAGAGAGCAACTGGCCATGTTCACTGCCCAACGATCCATGAAGGGTCAGAAAGCAAACGTGTCGCCTCCAACCCAGGAAGCTGTTTGTCATGTTTAGGGAATACATAGCAGGCCCGTACCACTACACTCCTGCTCTCTATTACACTCTTCCCTGCCCTACTTATCTACTATTTCCCTCTGTTAAAGACAGTATTTGGCTAGAGAGTGCACTGGTCTGAAAAATATGCTGGTTCTACACTTGGATTGCGTTTCAGTTGTAGCTGAGAGCCAATACAAATCTGAAACTCCTGTCAGACCATGAAAAGGTCCACTGAAACTACCAAGCTCAGAATTTTGGATTTAATTTGAACACAAGTTTGTTCATGACATTCTACTAGTTACCAATAACCTGTGTGGAGACTCATCTGACAAAATGAGAGCCGCCCATACTGAACTAGATCATATTGCTGCATTTGGCTCTCGTGTATCGCCTTCACTACCTGATATATATCAAACCAAGAGAAAGAATCAACTTAAACACATCTGGAAACATTTCATGCCTATTCTTACAACTAAAAATTCTGATTCTGACTACCATCCTGTATGCAAGCAAAACTAAATCCATGGCAAATATCCCCAGAGACTCACTCGCACTAGTAGAATACACTCATACTTTTAGAAGCATATGAAAACAGGTGAAAAGAGTAAGAATTTAAACAGGTTTACCCTTAGAAATGTGGGAAATCCGTGGCCATAATACCCAACAGCGAAATAATCTGGTTTAGGTCTCAGAATTTTCATGATGTTTTCATAGAACTTTGCTTGCTGAATCTGAAAGCAAAACCAACTGCAGTTACTTCCGTTTAGGCTTTTTCCCGTTCATTTTTCAACCTCTACAGTCGCACTAAGCTATGTGCCACAGCTCTCCGTGGGTAGGCAAGAGCTGTCAACGCTCAGCTGGCAAGCACAGCGACAGTCAGCATGCACACGCACACCACACTGCGGTGGTATACTAAATATTCCTTACGTCTGCATGCAAATATAATACACAGCTAAATGGGTATGGCTTCAGCTTCACATATCTGAGCTCAGAATCAGGCTCACCCTTGATTTACTAGTGTTAAAAGAGAAAAGCAAATACCAAAATTGTATTTGGCATCCAGGTGCTTTTTCTACCCTAAAGCATTACAAAGGCCTCAAAAACCTGTTGTATTTCTTTTATGCACGGCCTTCAAACTGTGCTCAGCGAGAATACGTTTATCTTATCCACAGAAGTTTCAAAATATCTCAATAAGCAGATGGTCATGCAACTTCAACAGACAGTTCTGAATGAATCTCTACCACTGCATTGTTACAGTACAACACAGCAACCCTTTGACAAATGAATTAAAACCCAACAGTGAACAACAAGGCCTTCAGCAGCTCTACCATTTGATAGCTCAGACGTACTCATTTCTGTGACCGAAATAATTTGAAGACCTGTATATAGTCTTACCAGGTTTTGACTTAGAAGTTCATAGTCAAAAACTTCCTTTTCGTACTGCTCTGCAAGTTCTTTGCATAAAGATATGGCTTCTTCCCACATCTGCAACACAACCCCATATTCAGAAAGGAAATCCAGTATCAAGAAACACGTTTTTAAGGCATCACTGGTTAACCAGAGTTTTACTGATGGTGCTATCTTTACACTGCAGTCATCTATTAGCTGCACATTCAGAATGGAAGACTCAAAGCAATCAGACTTCAGGAAAGCAGATAAATGTGAAAAATAAAAGTGGTTTACGGTTCATTATACGAAGTAATATGTAAACCTACTCCATTCTTATAGTAAGATAATTAAAATTCACCTCACCTTTCAGACACATTAGAAAAGAAGAGTAAATCTCTAAGGTGCGTAACATCCAGGACACAGCCCTAGCATGGGGGCAGTCTATGAGGGACTGACACCTGCCTCTCTTTAAAGGAAATACACTTCATTGTACAAGAAATGCTGAAGCAGACGTAATCACGGGCAGCCTTGCATACGATGGCTCTCCTAGTCAGCCAAAAAATTACAAGACTCAAACTGCCACTTTCCTGGAGCAGCTTGTTTCCTTCCACACAACAGCTACCTCTGAAAATGACCGCGAGGAATTAGAGGTGCACTGGAGAGACTAGGCCACTTTTTCTCCGCTGCTGTAACGTATGCAGCACAAAAGTGGTCCTAGAGCAGATAGAAACTCCCTCCCTCGAGGATACTTCTCAAATTCCGTCAGTCTTCTCATCAGTTCAGAATAAAGGAGACAAAAGGGGTTTTCTGAGCATAACTCTGCACTGATGTAGGGCCGCGGGTGGTCGTGCACGTCAGGCTGCGTTTACGTGGTGCCAGGCGGTTCGGCACCCGGCAGCCACGTTCAGCTGCCTGCAAACCTCCCGGGATGTACCCGAGAGAACCCGACGGCTAGGCGGATCAGAAACGAGGAAGGGTCAATTATGCTGATGGTGGGTGGGGTCCCCCTCCATGCAGTTGTTTCAGAAGCCAGCAAAACCACCTGAGCAGTTATAAATCCCACTGCATTCTCCCACACCACCAGCTTTCGATCTTCCGAACTACAGGGGAGATTTTCGGGGGGGACTTAGGCCTTTATTTTGCAGGAAGAAGTAACAAATTGCTTTCCCCCTTCATACCTTTGGCTACAGCTGAACAATGACTTAAAGGCCTTTTTGGGCCCTAAGATTCATGATCCAGCACTGCAGATTTTCCTCTTGCTTTCTAGTCCTTCACTTTATTTCCAAAAATCTCAGCTCTACTGGGGTTGTACTGACAGGCAATTTTATTAACAGTTTTTTTTTAAATAGCCGAATAAACCCAGGCACTGAATATCAAACCACATTTTAAGTCTGGGATGCGGTTGTCGGACTTCTCTGAAACAAACATGCCCATTTTAAACTGTCCATTTTTGGGGGGGACACAATGACCAAACGGTTTAGAAATGTAACCTGTGTGTTCTCTTCCTAGTAAAGGGAAGTATTGTCAATATTTTTGACTCGTTTATTACTGCCTGACAGAGATGCTTGCGACCAGCGTAAACATTAACACTTTTTTGTGGATGTGGGCACGGAAAGGATCTGTTCATATAGAACAGATACTCTGTGAACAAGCCTTCAGGACACAGCTTGACCCACATTTCAAAGAGGATTTTCCACACAAACATTTCATACGGAGAATATTAGTTAAATATTACTATACCAAGTAACAGTAAAAAGAGACTGGGCAGGGGGAAGAACTCTACGGACCTACCTTTCCCTTGTCAAAGTATTCGATGATCTTCTCATACAGATTCTCCTTCAAGTGTCGATAGGTCTGTGAGCACTGGAACTCTGTCGACATGACCTGGGGTGCACACGGTTCATCTGACCACTGAGAAGAAAAACACGTTGAAAAACCATACGGTTTTGGAGTTCAGTATTTCACACACATGTCCCCCCCTCCCCCAAGGTCTGGTTGCCTGGGCTCTTCTAAGTGTATTTTTTCCCCCGTCTTTTTTACCCTTCCACAAAGAAACTGGGAAAGGCACTGGGAATGTCTTCATCACCTCCTCAAGCAACTGCTTTAGTTTCTGTGATAGCCAAGACTGAAGGCAGCATTTTAAAAACCTGTGTTCCTTCCTCCTTCCCATTCAAAAATTTTGGACAAAAATCTACATGAGAAAAGTAGTTCATTTTAGTTCAGTGGTGTTATCTCAACTGACTTGGTTTTGATTTTTTGTATTAAAATATTTGCACACAACATTATCTTTGTCTATAACAACACATACAATATACCTCATGTTTTTGTATGGTCAAAAAGTCAAAATGAAGTGTAAGCAAAAAGGCACTGTGAAAAGTGAAATTTATATGGTTCTGCACTAAAAGAAATCTCAACTTTTTGCTGAACAATATTTAAATTGTTAACATCAATTACAATGAAAATGAACATCAGTTGTAGCAAAAAATAATTACCAGCTATAAAAGAAAGCAAACAATTTGGCAGAGTAATCCATATGATCTAAAATAAAAAGTCAGATGTCCCCTTTGATAGCTGGAAATAATTGCATCTAATTTTCATCATCGTTATGTCTGGAATAGTAAGAAATTAGCAAAAAGTAAACCGCAAAGTTAAATGGCTTCAGAATTTGCACACAATATTTTCACTCTAATGTAAAGCTATTTTTGCTAAAATATTTAGGTTTTGTGGCTTTTCATCACATACTGAAAATACAATTTCAACAATTAATGTTGATTTTGTATGACCTACTGCAGTTTTTTTAACTTGAATACCCCTATGGAAAATAATCTCTGATTTACTGCGTATTAGTTAAGACAACCACTTCTTAATTTACAAATCTGAAACTTGCAAAAGTTTATTTATACATAGGGTTTAGAAAAATCTAACCTTCAAGAGCCACGTGTGGAGTAGAAGGGTGTATGCTGCTTCCGTGTAATTCTCACAATCCAAATGAAGGTCTCGCAACTTATACAAGTATCTGTTTGAGGAGAGAACAAGAATTCAAGCAGGTAATGCCACGGCCGGAACGCTCAGAGAGCAACCAGTTCTAGACAACCCTTGTAATGCAAACCTCATCGATGTCGTGCAGGCACTACCCAGAGAGTCGTTTGGGACACTGAGCGAGGTTAAAGCTCTGCCCCTTAGTTCAGACTTTCCGGTGCTCCCTTCGTATGCTGAAACACTGTGCACACAGGAGGAGACCGAGCTCACCTCCTGCGAACTGCTGCCAGCTCCTCCTGGGAGATGCAGAACTACCAGGCGCAAGGTCTAAGCCTGACCTCCGAGTCCATGATTTCTGGACTCTTACCAAAGATAGCTGCCTTACTCTGTAGCACTTCTCGATTGCATGTAAATGCTTTCCACATAAACAGATCCAATCACAACAGATAAGGTAAAGCAGAGAACTGAAAATACCAGCCCAGAAAGGCAAAGCAAGTCCCTGCACAACTAGAAGGCGGTAGGGGCTGTTCTGTGCTGACAGTGCTCTCCTCGATCCCTAGGGCAGCACTGCTGCACAACCACTGCCCATCAAATGGCCCATCCCATCCCCTTACACACCACAGGAGTGTGGGCACAGACCCCTGACACCTTGCTGCAGCAGTTCAAGCAGTACCAATCCCAGACGTCCACCCAACTGAAAACATGTCCCCTCGGCAATGCCTGCAGAGGGAGTGTTGCTTCTCCCTGGCCCCTCTGGCTGCCAGCTCCAGGGGTAGGTCTCCATCACGCCCTGCGCTCACTTCAGCTGAGATCCTGGGCTCTGCACCGCAGTGGCTGAGATGCCCGTCACTGCAGATTTTGCAGCATGGGAGGAGAGGCAGGAAATAACGAGCTTTTGAACAGCAAGATTTGCTGCAACTCGTATGCGAAAGCACTGGGGACAGTAAGAGGTCACGTCACATCTGAGGGAATTTGGCAGTGTAGCTAGAGCTCTCAAGGCAAATGCTTCCCGGTAGCGCTGCGCTGCGTGTGGGGCGGCACAGCTGAAGAGACTGGAGCAAGAATACAAACGAGGCCAGGGGCACAACACCGTCATTGTGGGCGGTAAATTAACCTTAATTAACAGAAATCCAAGTGCAATGATAAAGCCGGAATTCACCAGATAATATTACTGCCCTCCGCAAAGCAGATCCAACAGAACAACTGCCGTACCTGATATACATCTCTTCACGGTTAATGGTCTTGTAGAAATTCTAGGGACACAAACATTAAGAAGTTATCTCCTAATGCCTTTCATTAGAGCAGAAGACAAAAATATATATATGCTGAGGTTTGGATTTTCTTGCTAGTTGGACAGCACAGGAAATACATTATTTACAGACTACCTTAAGTTCAGACCTGGCACTATTCCTTCAATTAATATTTAATTAGTTATTAATATGTGCTATTATTATACGTGCATGTGTTTTTCTGTTGGAGAAGAGGAAAACATGGTTATCCAAACACATTCACATAAACTACACACTCTGGCTACACTTGACAGCTGGTATGTGCTGAAGTTGGCGTGTGACACTGTCGATACCTAGCACCGTTGTGCCACACCTCTAAAGGGGCTAATTCCAGGAATAAAGCCCATTTTTGTCACCGTAACACATTTGCAGGTATATGAGTTGCTAAGGCTGTGCAAGAAACATGACAAGATTTGCCTTCTGAAGAGTTGCAGAAATTCAGACCCCACTGCACAGGGATTACGGAGGAACGAAGAGCATGTGAGTGTGGCACTTGTTAACCGTGTCCTCTTGCCAACCTCTAAAGCTGACAAAGGTTCCTCTTCGACTTAGAGGAACTTCCTGGTGGAGGAATCTCTCTATGAGATATCAGCATTACAAAATAGGAATAGAAAAAAAGACAGGGTGGCCTAGAACCAGATCAGAGACTCAGACCTTGTACCTTAGTGCAACTATACCTTCCAGGTTTTCTCCCCAGAGTTAAAACCAGTAATTGCTGAGTTGCTAAGCAGCAGGCAGATTAGTTCCTCATGCAAAACTTAACTTGGGCAAAAGCCCACTGTTACATTAAGCCTATCAAAAGGTAAAGGTATATGAGCAGTAGACTTCTTTCTTTATCCACAGAAAGTGCATAAAACATACAAGCAAAACGAAAGATATGAGAGGACACTGCTTTCAGGTTTGTGCATATATCCACGAAAACAGATATAGGAATCTCATGCCTTGGAGTTTAAATCACTACTGAGCATTGTCAACCATTCCTGCCCCCAGGAAGAATTACCCTCATCCTCAGTGAATGGATTCTAAAGCCCTTCCCCCTTCTCACACAAGAATTACAAGTGAGAACGTACCAGTAGGTTCACAGTGCAGCTCATGCGATTGTCCTTGCTCTCATCATTCATCACGGTTCGGTAATCCAGCAGTTTCTCCAAGAGGCCTTTAACTAGGGTGACAAACCCTTCGACCAAGGCAGAAATGCCGGGATAGTGACGTGCACACTCTGCAAGACTGCCAACACAAAAAAATGCTCTTACAGTACTGTGAAAGTACTCCTCAGAGTTATTTAAACTTTCTTCAGGAAATATATATTCTTACTAACTTCAACTGCAAAGAAATCCTTGAAGCTTTGGCATAGAGTGAAACCTCAGCAAAGTACCCAGGCTCAAAGTCCTAACTCAAGTGAAGTAAAACCTGCATCTCATATTTATTCCACCCAGGCTCAAAGTCCTAACTCAAGCGAAGTAAAACCTGCATCTCATTCATCTGATTGCAGAGATCCACCACAGAGTTATTCTGATGAGACAGAGAGAGCGTGTGCATGCACGTCTGAAAATGTTAGTATTGTACAAGACGCGGCACACAGAGGCTAACAGCTAAAACCTTGTCTGACTAGTCCGAAGCAATGACTGAAATATTTAAATAAATTATTGAAACATAGCTTATGACATTAAACATATTGCAAAGGGAATGTTAATACTTAAGGAGCTGAGGAGTTGACAACTGGCAGAATAAGTTGGAGCACATTAAATGGTATTTGTGGAAAAGAAAGTAAGAAAGCCTCAGAATCATATAGGAGACTGGAATACAACACAGGAAAAATGGCGTTAATTTACATATGTAAGTATCTGAAACGAGGTAAGATGCTAAGAAAGGAAAGTACAGTCACCATTCATTGTTATTATTTGCCATAAGTTCCCGTGGAGTGACAGCAAACAAGGCAGACCTACGAACATTACTTGGCTGTGAAATGAACCTAAGTCACCAAGGCATCACGTTGCCTCCCAATACAAGCAGAAAACCATGACATAAACCACAAGCTGTTCCTGGATCTCACCCAGGCTACAGTACCCAACTCATGTGACTGAAGATGAACTGGAGTACACATGGAGGAGAACTACAAAAAGAACAGGAGAGAGGAATACCTGCCTCAGAGGGAAGATTTAAAAAGTTGTCTTGCTCAGCTTTATGTAATAATAATCCAAATAAGACCTATAAAACTTTAGAAGACTTCTTTTCCTCTCCCAGGAGGGAACAAGAAACCTTTGAATTTTTAAAGAGGGTTTGGGAAAAAAAAAAAAAGAATTTTTAAAATACAAGATATTTTCAATAAAGCTCAAGAAAACATGTGCATAACATGGGCCACTGCAGTCAGTGATGGGGAACTGGAAAGCTTCCAAAGGCTATTTTCTGTTGTGCCTATATTAGTAACTAAGACATGCCAGAATTCATTTTCTGAGCCTGAGGAGAAGTGGCACAGCACAACTTGTGCTCATGTAGCTGGATTCTTCTCCACTTCCCAAAAAAGGGCAGCCTTGTCTATCCTGACTGTTGAGAACAGCCTCTCGCCTGTGTTGTTAGCCCAACTCTTGCTCGGTGTTGTCTGGGACGGCGTTCATTAGTACAGGTCACCAGCCTGCCACGGCCCAGGCTGCCAGCACTACGGGCGACCGCACGGCAGCGCTTCAACTGCTGCTGATCCTCATCCTCCGCAGTTCAGTGGGCACGGGGAGTTCCCAGCCGCCAGCTGGGGTGGGTAAGTGCTGGTTACAGAGCTGAGCACCAACACACACGACAGTCACCGACCAGTGTTCATTATCTGCCTGCAGGTGGCAACTGGAATTGTGCAGGAGTGTGGACAGTTACAGGAAAACAGCTGAAAATGTGACCTAATTAATAAATCTGCATCCCAATTTAACTGGGTCTCTACCCAGCTGGAACAGGGAGTCGGGGATAGAGGCTTGAAATCCTTACTTTGAAAGGGGGAAAGTTCAAAACAAACCAAACAGAAACATCAGAGCGAACAGGGTCCCACCACAGACAAGTCAGCAGCCTCTGCTCTGGCTGTCCCTCTACAGGCATCATTAAACAACTTCAGGGATGGAACAAAAAACGTTATCTGGAGAGACTATGAAGTGACATATTCAGAAACGCGGAAGCCTCGCACTTGAAGTCTTGTAGAGCATGGGAGCGTACCCAGGGCAATGAACCAGCTACGTGGAAGAAAGCAGGGTGTCCTGAAGGGCAGGAAGGTCCAATGCCAAGTGTTATGTTCCATGAGACTATTCATCTGCACTGTTGGAAGATGGGCTTTAACTGGATAGGTACCAGTTCTCTAGAAAAACATTTGAATGAGAGAGTAAACTGCAGACCAGCCAAGCGAACAGCGTTCCACAGCTCAGAAAACTCCAGTCTCTCATACGTAAGGTCTTCTTTTTGCATTGATAAAGTCTCAGTTTGAACACTCTCTCCAGCTTCAAGGCAATGTAATATTTCCAAATAGATGTAGACATTGTAGGAATGTCCAGAAACCACTGCATATGATAAACTGAAATATTGGGGGTGTTTACCATATTCAAATTTGCTAAAAGCTGCTGCAAAGAGAAACGGAAAAAATGACTATGTCCCCTGTGGGCAAAACAGGAAATAATTGGCTTCAACAGAGGCAAGGAAGATGTAGTATGGATATTTGGAAAAAAACTTACTAATAGCAAGGAAGAATACCAGTACTTGAAGGGGCTACAAGGAAGCGGGGGGGGGACTTTTTACAAGGACCTGTAGTGACAGGACAAGGGGTAACGGGTTTAAATTGAAAGTGGGGAGGTTTAGATTGGATATCGGGAAGAAGTTCTTCCCGGAGAGGGTGGGGAGGCACTGGGACAGGTTGCCCAGAGAAGCTGTGGATGCCCCATCCCTGGAAGTGTCCAAGGCCAGGCGGGATGAGGCTTGGAGCAACCTGGTCTAGTGGAAGGTGTCCCTGCCCATGGCAGGGGGGTTGGAACTGGATGGTCTTTAAGGTCCCTTCCAACCCAAACCATCCTGTGATTCTACGATTCTGAAGTTTAGCACTGCAACAGATGTCCACTGTGTCAGCTGAATCCCCCACCTTGGAGACAATGAACTGCAGTGACAGTTCAGGCAGGCATCGTGGTTTAGGCTCTGCAGCAATGGGAGTAACAAAACTATGCACTGGCAGGCCTGTTTTCGGTCGTACTAAGAACCTGACCAACTCTGTGTCACCTCTCAGCTGTCCCAAGACTTGAAGCCAAACGGTAAACAATCAAAATTGAAAATGAATGTACTGCACTCAGTTTACACCGTCATCGCACAGTAGGAAGTGAAACAGATGTTTTTAAAATTTCATCTGTCCACCTGTATCCGTTTCATAGTTTTATATGGCATAAAATGTGTCAGTACCTTCACTTTTTAAGTCTGCTTGTCTATAATTTATCTGCCTCATCATTGGACAGGAATTAAACTAACATAGCAAACATTTAAATTATGCTTGATTTAAATGATGTTTCTATTAAGTTTCACTATTTAAGTACAATATAATTACATATTATTTACATACAATAACATTCATATACTATGATTTGATTATTTTTTTTAAAATTGTGGTTTTGCCAAAAGCAAACTTTTTTCCATTGTGGTTAAACACCAAGATTTCATGCTTCATCTGGTGAGGGATGAGACTTTGCAAAGATTGCTACCCCCTACACAGAAATACAATACATACGAGGCTTTGAGAAAGTAAAAACACACCCACTGTCACACAGCCTGTATCGACCTTGTCAGGTGGTCAAAGTGCTACAGCAGTTTTACACTTAACTTCCAGGTTACGAATGCTTGGGACAGTCTGCGATGAGCGATGAGCTGCCTCACCCCTGCAGCCTAAGGCACAAAGCTAGGAACAAATTCTCAGAGGTGGGGTCTCACCACAGCCCAACACCTCATACACACAGCCGGCACAAGTGAAGACACAGCCCTCAAGTCTGAGAATAAAACTGAACGTGGGTGGCCGAGAAGGAGATGCTATGCCAGGCTTTGGGATTGCTAGAAACACAGTTTTTGTTAAACTACAGTACTTGGCAATATTTGCATCCCAGGGCAGCGATCTTACCTAAGTAAGAGAAGAATCTCTTGGAGCCCAGTGCAGACATTGAGAAAAGCAAGTGAGACATTTTAAAATACCTTCTTATTAGTGTGAAATAAAACTAAGAAAAGTTATAAGGACAGGGGAAGACTAAGAAGTGGGGTGAATATTTGATTATCTTTGCTTGAACACTGGATGGAAAAATGCAGGTGAAGTATAATTTCTTCGTAATTTAGCTGGAGCACCAACTAGTGAGAAGCCACCAGGAAAATAGCCTCAATGAGCAAAACTACAGTTCAAACCAGCTTTACTGAAACAGTGTGCTGTTTCAGTCCCTTCATAAAAATCTGTAAGTGAGGTTACCTACTTGGGAGGCGGACGATAAACCCACACCCTCAAGGCGTGTGTTCTCACGCACTACTTACATGCTCTCAAACAACTGCATGTAGTGTTCATCCCCTCGTCCTCCTTCCACCTCATGGTCCAACTTCAAAATGATTTCGTTTTCAAACTAATAAAGGAAGAAAAAAATCAAACCACTGAGCAGAGATACAGAGAATGTCTTTGTACAGTTGTATCACATATTCCCAAAGCTGAAATGCTTCAATACATTCCAGTTGAATAACACGCATCTCACTCTCTCCAGATACCTGTTGCTTCACACAAACTGATAAAACCTGCAGGAACAGGCTTACAGTGCCTCTATTTTGTGTTTTTATACAACATCTCTCACTTGAAATGCAGCAATTCAGAGGAAGTAGAATCAATTTCACCCAGATAAAATATGAACAATCCTACTGTATGCAATACTTCATTTAATTGCTAATCGTGAGGTCTACCTAGGCCCTGATTAGGAAACAGTAAAATGTAAACAAAGACAGCAAACAAGCTATTTTTGTAGTTAAACACAAAAATTCTTGCCCTTCTCCTGCATAATTTTTTTCAATTTTGCCCTTCTCCTGCATAATTTTTTTCAATTTTGCCTCAGAGGTATGACACCACTTCATTTTGAGCTATCAGCAGCCTTACTTCCCTACTTGTAAGGCCAAAAAGTACCTTCTTACCCTCCGGGAGCTGAAAAAGAATCTATGCAGCTTGTGTGCACACAAACAAGAGAAAACCTGTAAATATTGCTCCAGTGGTCACACCTTGCTGGCTATCACTAAGCAGCCAACTCTCAAAACTCCGAGTTCTAGGTTTCCTTTATCCTGCATTGAGCTTACAGAGAAGCACTACCTCCAGTCTGCAGAGTCACCCTTGAAACCCAACTACTGGGCTCGGTCCTTCCTGTAACGGATTTCTTGAAGCTGGGTATCTGAAGATGTTCAAGTAGGTCACCATTAAAAACGGCCACCCAGAAAAACATACTCAACACTTTTCAAGAACAAAGGTCAGGCATTCCATATTTTTCTCCAGAATATCTGATCTCTTTCATTTTTGTGCTGAGATTCAGCTAAACAGGACTAGCAAATGTCAAAGATCAAAGTTCTAGAATATAAGCCAGTCAGATGATTTTGCCCCTAAATTCAGCAAGCACAATTACGTTAAGATAGCTTCTTAATGAAACTGATTTATAAGCTGTGCAATATGTAAAAATCTTTAGACACCCTTACAGCTATCCCTGAGAGCAACCTAAAAAAGCCTCAAACCCACATTCCATTCAGACTTTGTGCTTTAAGACAACTGACAGATGTTACCCGCTTGCTACTCACTCCCTGAGAACGTCTCCAGTTTCTCACAGCAACGAGTACAGTTCCATACCCAGACAAGCACTAGCAGGGCTACTCAACGCCTACGCGTCAGAGACAGCAGGACGCCACCCATCCAACCCCCGATCTGCCAGGTCATCCTGATGCTGCAAACTGATCTGTGGAGGGAAGACTGGAGTGGGCTGGTGTTTCTTTCACGGAGCTTTGTAACACTGCCTTGAGTGGCCTCGTAACGTCTACACTGGTCACAGAAAAAGCAAAAACTAGGTGCAGAAAATGAGGCAGTAGAAGGGGCAGGGAGGAAGGAGAGATTTCAAGTGCTGCGTATCTGTCAGAATAAATCATAGAATCATAGAATCACAGAATGGTTTGAGTTGGAAGGGACCTTAAAGACCATCCAGTTCCAACCCCCCTGCCATGGGCAGGGACACCTTCCACTAGACCAGGTTGCTCCAAGCCTCATCCAGCCTGGCCTTGGACACTTACAGGGATGGGGCATCCACAGCTTCTCTGGGCAACCTGTTCCAGTGCCTCCCCACCCTCTCTGGGAAGAAATCAGAACAACAAAACCACAGATGTAAACGTGTGAAACTAATATTGCTCATAGGTTATAACTATCATGCAGCACCAGACAGCTGTGCTTCAGAGAAATACTTGAACACTTCACAGGGGTTGATGCGATACAGAAGGACTTGGAAACAAGTTGTGTACACAGCGTAGTATGGCATGGACCGGTGACTTCTCCAGCTCAGTACCAGCTGTAGCATGAGTGGACTGAGCAGGAAAGTACGGTTCATGAGCATGTGAAGAGCACAGTTTCAAATGGACATCGCATGATTAAAACACCCTGCTGTCTGGATGAAGGGGAAAATGCAGAGAATACATGGGTATTTATTATCAGGGAGATGCCTACATATACACGGTCATCGCTGAAGGTGAATTTCCAAACCCGCGTAGTACGCATATGCGAAACATTAACAGCAGCACAGGACTGGCTCCAGCAGAACTGAGCAGCGTGCAGCCATCCAGTGTTTCAGCAGAAGTTGGCAGTAAGTGTTTCACCTCGGTGGCATACCGAATAGGCCTTACAGTGCTCCTCAAAATAGTTAATGACTTCAGATCTCGCAGTCTCTGTTTAGGAGACACTTCCCACAATGTTCTCAGAGAAAGCCATGAATTGTTCAGTAGAAACAGCAATCACATTTTCTGATTTGAGTAGAAGGAAAAGATTGCTACATTAGAACTCTTTATTGGGTTGTTTATTTTTAATAGGAGCGTCAAATAAGAGGGAACCTTATTTTGCCTTTAGAGGCCACAAAGTGTTTGGTTTGTTGGGAGTACCAATACTCTGAGATCCAGAACAAATCTTTGTCCTGATACTTGCAGGTTTGGCTGCTCAAGTATTAGTTCTTTCTCTGTAATTGGAATAAAAATTGAAGATTGACAGTGGCACCAACAGTAGAGAATAAAGAACTATCACTGAAATATGGAGAAATAAGAGAAAAAAAACCCACTCTGGCTGATCCAGGCCGAAAAAGAAGTTTAAAGGGCTCAGAATTCACTTCTACGTGTTAGTAGTAGGGGTATTTGTGTACATGTGTATTAGTAACATGGGTACCACAGGTACAGGGCAGTTTCAGGACAAGGCTATATTAAACAAAAACATCCAATCCGGTCACTTTCTAGAGCGGAAGCCTGCAGATTTACTGCAGTCAGACAGAAATCTGAATGTAGTGCAAGTCAAGCACCAGTTAAAAATCATCCACCTCTAAAATCCTCCCTAGTACTTATTCAGCAGGGAGAGAATTGATTACTTCTCTAAGAGGCAATAATTTCACAGATGCTGGATTTGAACAAAAAACCTCTTCTAAGCAGTTTCTCAAGAAGCTGCAAAAAGCCAGTTGCTTGAACCAAAATAAGTAAAAAACCTGGCAGAAATATAGAATTAAGTTTTAATGTGTCTGGGCCAAAATTAAGCCCGGGAAAGGGTATTTCTCCTCTAACCTACACATTGTGCCTAATTGTCACTGGCATCAGCTGCTTATCTGTCTAATAGATCCAAGAAATCTCCACATCCCTGAACACACTTCAATACCAAAGGACCATCTCCCATTTTTCTCCACAGATCTCTGAAGCACCAAGCCATACAAACAGGTTTCTGCTATTGGGCTGATCTCACATCCTTCTGAAATCCCTATGCATAATAAAATTTCAAGAACTGAGAGTAAGGAATATGGGTGTTTGCAGCAATTATGAATGGCCAAAGGAGCTTGCTGACAACACTTACACTCACTCCTTCAGTAACCTTTTACAGCCCAGAGGGATACGAGACTCCAGCAGGTTCACTAAGAATAAACATCTATCCTCTAACCCCACCAGCAGCCATGGAAGCCCAGGACCACACCATCAGTCAGCGCTGTTTTCTGACACAGTCCAACCACAGTCAGGAAGGAAAGCAAATACAGAAAATGCCCCCAGATGGCTTCAGCAATTGGTGGAACCAAGGAAAAATACTAAATTGGAAATAACAAACACAAACAGAATGACTTAGATGAACAAAAAAAATAAAGACAGACAAATTAATCTTTCCTAAGCCAAGTTAAATCCTTAATGTAACCTGAATCCATGTTTATTTCAATGAAATTTTCATTTCTCTGCAAAGATTGGGGTTTTTTTTGGTAATTAAGTGGTTTTGGCCTGAGATTATCAGACAGGACACACAGTGCCAGGTTGCTTAATGACGTGTCTTTCTTTGGGAAGTCTTAATAAAATGCACAACGTGACCTTTCGAAGGAAGTTGGGTTACTGACATTTGGAGGATGGGATTCTCTTAACATCACGTGTCCGACGCATCGGCAACGGGCTTCCCTTTACAGCTGAAGGAGAAGGCGATTCATTTGCAGGACTATTTCTACCCACAGACACTGAACACAGTTTGGATAAATTGCTGTCCAAGATGCCCAGCTCTCGGAGCTAACGACAGCCAGAGCCTCGATGGCTAAAATTAGTAGATATTAAAGGGTTCCTCCCTACACCTTCAATCAGAGTTAAAATTACAAGTTTATATAACGTTTCTTCCGGGTGAATGGAAGTCACATGTGCAAAGTAAAAGGAAGGATCATGAAGAAAATGTGTCAGTATGCCATATGCCTACTTAGATACCCCATTTCGTTACCTACAGATGGATAATATGTCGTTCTTGAGAGAACCAGAGGTGGAATTCTGTTCTCTCTGTTTGTCCACCCAGAATGGAGCACAGCCACGCAGATGTCTCAGCACAGCACCACATCAAGTTAACAAAATCAACCAGGCAAGCTCTAGTTCCAGTGCTGGTACAGACTCAGCGAGTAAAGGCGTCTCTGTGCTTTTGTCCCCTCTCTCGTTACAGAGAATTAGATTAGACTTTATTTATTTATTTCTTAAGTTCGGCAAAATTATGTTTTAATTGGATGTCAGTTTAGGCTCCCGAGTGCCCAAGGCAGTCTTGAAATAACATGTTATCATTCTCAATATTTTATACTTTAAGAAAATATCCTTTAAAATACTAAAGGCCAATTTGTATATAAAAATTTCCCACTAGCAAAAGTTAAGAGTATAAATGTTTCTTTATCAAATAATTTTCCATTCAGATTACTGTTCTGCCTTTTCTAATTAGGACAGTAACAATTTTAAGTAATAAAACTTAAATGTGCCTCTCCTTAAAAATATAAATGTTTTAAAAACGTACCAGAATTGCCAAACTTACTGATGCAGGTTTAAGGAATTCATCTTAATTACCTTGAAAGAGAGAAAAAACAGACAACTCTCCACCAGTAAATATTCTCAATTTCTACAGCAGAACATGCAAATCCAATGAGACTCAACCACTCAATTATGAAACAGTTTTAGTGCCATCTGATAAAATTACCTCTTATTTTTAAGCTTTGATAAAATGAATGTCCTTGTCCCTCAGCACTGAAAAAATGCCACCTGAAACTTATTTATATCAGCATAAGAAGTGGTTTAAAGGTCACCTATAAGTCTGGCATCTTCCAGGCTCCTAAGCTGTTGTTCTTGTTAATCGCTCAGTATGACTGATGAGTTTTCAGGATTTTTGGTCTGTACAGATCTGTGCATCCCTCCCCAGAGACCAAGTATAAGCCAAGAGCAGGAAAACATTTTTAAGAAGGCAAATATAGGACTATTAGGACAGGGAGGGAACAGATGCACAGAAGCCAAGCGGTTTTTAATCTTGGCCTTGAACCAAAAGCGTCGCACTGTGGAATACAGACCAAAATGGAAATTCCATCTGCTTGTTTGTGCCGTGCTTAGCTGACACAGAAATGCCCCACATGATTCAAAGTATTAAACATAGCTGGGTTTATGAGAGAGTGTTACATTTACTTTCCTATGAATGTCCAGAATTATGACTTTTTTGCCACTTACCATTACGCAGTTTGTTCTAAATTAATTACTGAACTACAAAGCCTGAATCTCCAATTTAAAATCTACTGTGTGCAAAACCTGAAGAAGGTAAGTCCATGCCCAAAGAGCTTGGAGAGAATGAACAAGTGAGCTGGGAAAGTAAGTGACAGATACTGCCCAGACAGACACAGCAAGCAGTGGCAGATTTAGATTACATTCCCATATGTCCCATCCCACCACCCACATTTCTATTCCATCAATCAAAAATACTGAATACTCATGATTTAAAAATCATTTTCCTTTTCAAAGTTACTGTAGAAAACATTTTAAGAATATCAGTTCTTCCCAGTGGTTATTTTTTTTCACACTAAATTCTTTGAAAAGTTAAAATTTCCTGAGTAATCTGATAATACAGAATTAACTATTCCCTGCTACTTGTGTCAGACGTTCGGTATTACAAATTGTGAGTTTTGCTTATCAAAATCTAGGTCACAAGGAAGGGGTGTCATGAAAAACCTAGAATAGAAAGGACCCAGAGGTCATTTAACTCTCCCTATACTTAGTCAATGCTGACCTCTGTCATGTCTTTGTCCTCAGAGCCTTTACTGATACAATACTGAACATTTTGATAAAGATCAGGCAACCTCTCTGGATGCCTCCTCCAGCTCCTTACTGCTGTCATTATGATGAGAGTTTTACTTAAGTCCAACTGAATCACTAACCTGCACAAGAGCTCTTCCTTTCCATCTTAATACTTTGGATTTTGCTTTCTGTGAGCAGAAAAGCTCACAGAACAAATATTTACCAGAAATAAACTGACCATGTGACATTCTGATGAATTTTCACCTGGAGTATTCTTCATTACCTTTTTGAATTCTCCTGTCCTTTGATATTCACACAGCATCATGTCAAAGAAAATTGGGATTGTGGCTTTTCGTAGTTCAACTTCTGGAATAAGAGTCATTTCCAAAATGGGTCCAACCATCCCCGGAATAAAGCAAATTTTATTCTGGCCTGAAACAGAAACACAAATTGAGTATGTGAGAGGAGAGAAAAACCATTTTCCTTTTAGGAAAACATTTAGGACATGCTGTCACGTAAAGGAGTGTTTTAAACCATCTTTGGTGGTAAAGCCTTACGACTTAGTCACTGATCTCTGCTCCTTCTCAAGAGCTGGAAGCATGTTAATGGATCTCATTCTGACACACCAGAATTCACTGCCAGCAGTGAGCAGGGATACCATCTGAGTGGACATTTTCAGTGAACATTTCAGGTTTTTAGCTTTTGGCATCTCCTTTTAAATACCTGTAGTAATAAACCTAAGAATCCGCCACATTCTACCAGTAGTAGAGTGGCACATGGTAATGTCACATGGTGTAACCTTTCTAGCTTATCAAGCAGAAAAACCTCCCTTGCTTTCATTTCTGAACAATGCCAAACAGTGCAACCAACAAAGCAAGCCTACCAAGGCATCAAACACTGCTAGCAATACGAGAAACACTATCTACACAAATCCTAAACCCACAAAAAATTATCTTGTATCACAACTGTTACATCAGCTGCCAACGAACATCCAAATCTGCAGAATTCTCAGCCAGGTCCAATATGTTCTTCAAATGCTGCTTGTTTCTTGGGGATGAAAAGTGTGATATGGGGAACAGATCCCACCAAAATCCAGTGACCTGTGTAAGAATGGCAATACTGCCTAAAGCTTGTAAGAAGATACAACATTCCCACAAACAAATACGACTACACTTGTTCCACAGCTACAGAGTAACCGGATTCTGATTTTCCTCTCAAGTGGGTGCCATACTAAGGTAACTCCAGGCATAACTGATCTACAACTTCAACGGTTTTATACCACATTATTTTTTCTTCCACTCATCTTGATTAAAATCATTATTGATCCTAGTTAAATCAGTCATGCTAATGAAATTGAAAAGAATCTTATGAGTCTATAACTTCCAATACCTATACATATTAGACCTTACAGGTCTGTAATTTTTGAAAACCACAAAAATTTATGCATGATGAGGCTACCCACTCACCTCAAAATCTCTATTCTCCCAAGCAATCCTCTTACTTCAGAAGAAAAAAAAGAGAGAAACTTCCAGCCAAATGACATCAATACGTACTGCTTGACCAAGGGACTAATTTTACACTTAAACCCGAAAGAGTTTAGCATACAACCTTAAATAAACACATACATAAATACATTTTTAAAAAATGTTGAAGACTATCCTGCCAACAGCAACTCTTACTCCATTTCAGGCACTGAGAGAAACCACTCCTCAAACCTCACAGTGACTGAATGTCTCAAGTGGACAAGGGAAGACAATCTGCCGCAGAGAACAAGGCAATCCAACTGGTAATTTGAAGGGCACTCTAGAGGTCACAGTACGAGATGCTTTGACATGCATTCGCCTGTTTCAATCTTGCTGGATATGTACTCCTCAAATGTGGTGTATACTAAAGATGCTCTGCTGCTCTTCAGAATGCAGACTGCCTTTTGTTAAAGCTACAGAAGCAGTCTGAAAATTACAGAAAATAAATGGAAGAGGCATTTATTATAAGTGAGTATTACTGCATATTAGTCAGAAACATTTCTCAAACTGTTTGCCTCACTTTGCTCACACTGGGTATGCAAGACTATTACTTAAATAAAGTAATAATGCATTTGGTTATTAGAAAAAAAATAATGTGGTCTTCACCATCATATTGGACATAACCAGGCCCTTAACTTTTAATAAGGCCACTGCTATTTGCTGTTTGGGATACAGATTCAGCACGAGTGGGACGCAAACAGGAAGTCCCAAAGGCACACTAGCAGAGGTGTGCTCCTGCCAGATTTGCTGTGCTTCGTCGCAAAATGAGAACTTGAAAGTGTGTTTTAAAAAACAGATGTTAATGGCTCTAGGATCAAGAATTCATGTGAAAATTATTAATTTCAAATTTACACCTACCAGAAGCAGAAAGGATAGCAATGGTGTTAAACTAGAAAATTAATGACTATGCTGAAAACAGTTTCGTGAGTTCATCGATTAATCAGCAAAAGTATCAGATCCTTGAAAATCTTGAGTACATCTTTTCAAAGCATCAGACTATTTGGACGCATTAAGGTTTTTGTTCTACTAAAACATACTAAAAGAAAGATTTAAGAAAAGAAAGAGTGAAAGGGATATATATCAGTAGAAGGAGTAGGTGTAAAGTGATGAAAACATGCAAAATCTCTGGGCAAGCACACAGACACTGGTACACCTAGGAAACTAGAAAGTGTAACAGAGATCATAAAGAAATTTCACGTCCTGACAGAAATGTGCAAAGATCTTCCCATATAAACTAAATATTCTACAGAAGTTCGTTCATAAAAAATGATCCTTTTCAGTGCATAATACAGGGTGATATGACAGCCTCTCCACAGCTTATTTTACTTTGCAGCAGAGCATTGTCAGAGGTTCAAACACGCTACAAAACAACTTACTGACCAACTCAAGGATGAGAGGAAAGGTAACTAGTAGAATGTGAACACACTAAAAGGAGAAATACGGAATCACTTTTGCCTCTACAGCAGGCATTGCTACCCGCCAAGGGAAGAACATGTCCCCATTTGGAGATAGCTTTTCTTTGAAATAAATAAGGCTTATCAGGGAGACAGGGATATGTCCTGCACTGCACTGCATTTATGAATAAAACAGCAGACTATATGGAAGAGGAAAGTATGCGATGCACTACCCACATTAATTCTGTGTGTCGAGTTCTGTATGGAATAAGCTGTATGCTTACTCCATGCCCAAAACTGAAGAGCTATCCTTCAGTGATAACAGGCACCATCCCCACTGGACATTCCATGCCGGTATAAATTTCTGCAGAATTTTTTACTCTTTAACCTAATAGGGCCTTCAAAAGATGTTTTTCTTCACTATATCTTGACTACGCCTTGCTGGAGTTTTTGCATAATTAACAAAACATTCATTGGAAGAGAAAAGGAAGATGGATCTCTTCTCCTACACCTCAGAAAAGCTAAGGCTCAAGGTCATCTTTAAAATCAATCATAAAACCCATTATCAATATAGCTTAACTATGGGATTATTGCTTATTTGGTGCAACTCACACTGGAGACTTCATCAGCCCACAGAAAGAAAGTAATATCCTTCTATCAACAGAAATTTTCCTGCAAAATCTAATTGAAACAACACCCTTTGAAAAATTTGCCTAAAAATTTAAATGTAAAGTTCCTTACTCAACTCCGTGAATGAACTGAACGTAAAAACCTGAATCATCTGTACACAGTTACTTTGACTGCTAGTCCTTGACATCGATAAATTGAGTAGTTGTACAGTTCTCAGCCTCCTTCATATTCTGCTTATGACTACACTTGGTATTCAGTCCAGGATAAATTCTGCCTTTCCATCCACTCCCAGTCAGTCACTTTAAATTTTGCTTTGTATTCGTGAAGGTGACCCTTTTTGTTCAAATTTTATTCAAGTATCTTTGGATTTTGGATAGTGTGGGTATATTTTGGCTACAATTTTAACAACATGTACAATATATTAATACTACTGGAAAAAAAGCTCTGTTATTACAGTCACTGAGAACACACCACACCATTCTTAAAAATGAAATTATGATATGTGGAGATTACACAAGTTTTCCTGGATGAAATGACTGCATTTTAGCTGAGTCAGCACAATGAGGACCTCAGGAAAAAGGGAAAAATGCTATTAGTGTGTGCTCAGAACTCCATGGAAGTGGCACAAAGGAACAAAAGACCAGAACTGCCTTGAGGTCCAGAGATCTCAGACAAAATGGTTGTTAAAGCCTTTTTCTTTGTCTTGTCCCTGGGAATTAACTGATAGAATCTAGTCTTTAAAATTTGACATTCAGCTTGCAACTCAAAGCGTAAGCACAGGTATCATCATAACTGCCTGCACTGTATATTTCAAAAAACCTCTACGATACATTCATAGAACTTTCATAGAACAACACATTATTGTTGCCCCCATTCCGAACCCTCACAGGAGCAGGGGCAGAACATGGCTGTTTGACAAACGTAAAAACCTTTGGCAATTTTAATCCAAACAGATCCCAGAGCTGAGCCTACTCATTTCTGGAACTGCAAATTCAGTAACCTACTGAGGGAAAATTTATCTCATTCTCAATTTCTGCAAAATAAGGTTTCTGAAATCTGATTTCATCTGTCTTTGAAAGCTGAGAGAAGGCTGTGCGTTCTCTTAGAAGTAAAAAATAGGCTGTAGTCAAAGCGTATCTCATGTCAGTTCCAAGTTCAGTCACAGGAATGAAAACGTATTTTAAGTTCAAATAGCAGAAGTAGTTACAAAGGCACTTCATGTCAGAAATTTTTCAATGGAACAAGCAATATGCTGGGACTTTGGCTGCAATTGCCTTCATTTGCATACTCACCAAGTTTGTACCACATGTCGCGGATAGCAAAGCCAATTAAACGTCTCATATCTCCATACCTAGAAAAAAAGGTATGAAAGGTGTCTTTATCATTATCTTTATCATCATTTGACTACACAATTCAAGACATACACTGAAGTATACATTTTTTGCTTACTTGTTCTGGATTTTGTTGTATTTTGCATGGGAGAAGTTTTCCAGCTGTAGTGACTCTTGGGTAATAAAAGCCACAGCCAAATGAAAATAGTTGTTCCACAGCTGTAAATTGAATATAAGGAAATAATAGTTTTGAGAAAGCAGGGATAATAAACTATGCATAATGCTGAATAATTTATGAAACCAAATGATGCAAGCAATATGAGATTTTCATATTATGCAAAGATGTACATCATTAGTATTATGCAATTAGCAGAAAGCAAGAAAGATGAATTTTAATAACCACTACTACACATTTGCTCTTAATAACACAGCAGCTGAATAAATACTGCTAAAAAAAGATTCCTAGGAAATTCATTAGCTAACAACATCAACCCACGAACCACAGGAGGACTAGTGAAACCCAGTGCATGCCAGAGAATCTTAACAACCTGGAGCTCAAGGCATCCAGTGTAAGTACACTCTATTTGAGAACTACTTCAAAAGGTATCTCCTGTCTTCTCGATGGATGCTAATTCAACACTGATTTGTGTGAAATTCCAATGTGTTTTGTTAAGAGCTGTCTACATTAAACAAGGAGAAAATACCTCCCTACATAGCTACCAGTAGTACTGAGTCATGTACTTGAACTAGAAGAAAACCCCTTGTATTTCCAGTGCACAACCCTTCGTTTCTGAAGGCAAATCGCTTGTTCTCCAGACAAGCAAAATGAAGTACCGTTCTCACATGCTAGAGATGGAAAGGGAAAAAAAACATCACTAGGAAACACAAACTCAAGAGCAAACACTATTTTCAGAAGATTCTAAGCAGTCAGCAATGGCTTTAGACACTTCTTTAAAAACACAGCTGAATCTAAAAATATGTACTGTAGGTACCAGTGAGACAGTAGAAAGGCAACAGTAAATACATTCAGGGATGATTTAAAGGATGGAAGCAAAACGTACAACATTATTACAGAGCTCTTCATATGGTACCAGGAAATACAACCCCAGGCTGGGGACCCACGCTAGGTAGCCTAGAAATAGAACGTTTCTTCAAAAACTTAGAGTGTCACTATCACCTGGAAAACTCTCTTGTGCACAAACAGCCCCAAAAAATAAGATACCAATGCACAAAACCACACACAAAAATACAGATGTTTCCCGTAATAAATAAAATTCTCAAATGTCCTCTATCCTGTGAGGGAGCCCCTGCGTTTAATTTATTCCTCCCTTCAAGCCCCAACTAACGCTCTCCTCCGCAGACTTGCTTATTTAAAAGCCCTTAGGAGAGCTGTTCCTGTCTAAGTATTTACGGTCCGGAGAGCATAGTTATCCCAGGTGCAGAAACACAGACTCAAGCAGCATTTCAGTGGAGACAGTTACTAATCTGTTGCACATGACACCATTCAAAGATGCTCTGAATTCACCCAAACCAATCACGGCCTTATTAAAACTGACATTTGAATATGAGCACTAGTAAGGCAGCAGCTTCCCCCCTCCCCCCCCACCTTAATACAAACATCCAAATCATGTTCTTATCTAATTTGTGACAGTATAGTAATAGCACATACTAATGCAGAGCATTTTTCCCCAGGATAAATGTTATTTATGCACTGAAGGTCCTGTTATCCCTCCTTATCCAAGATTCTAAAAGATTAATTGGACCAATTTAGTTTCCAGTGCCTTG